TTTTATTATATACAGGCATATGGCTAGTCCAATTATCGTATTTTACACTCTACAAACCTTAACTTTCCACTTTTCCACCTTAAAATGTCATTTTTCCCAGATAATCCCTTGGCACACTTCATCGTATAAAACGTCCCGTACAAACAACCTAAGCCAAAATACAAAAAGTCAATCCAAAACAAGTAAAACAGTACGAGTTACGGCTGTTTACACGTTTGGCCGCGAGCGAAACCCGTCTAATTAGGCAAACGTGCGCAAGTCCGGCACGTGGTCCCGTGGCCCAATGGATAAGGCGTCGGTCTCCTAAACCGAAGAGTGTGGGTTCGAGTCCCATCGGGATCAATTCGTTTTTGGCACTTTTTCAATTGATTTTTGGGGCCTATAAGTTGTTTTATAGTTCTTTTTAGTAGCTTATAGCTTCCTCGCTTATCATTTTATAAAAATATTGTTGAGGTTTGTTTTAAAATGGCATTGTTTGAGCTCTTGAAAGGTTTGGTCATAATTTGTGACATTTTTCAATTGATTTTCGAGGTTTTTAAGTTATTTTATAGTTGTTGCTCGTAGTTTGTGGCTTCGTAGCTTATCATTTTACAAAAAAATTGTTAGGGTTTGTTTTAAAATGGCATTATGTAAGCTTTTGAAAGATTCCATCATAGTTTCGGTGGCTCTTTCTTCGATTTTAATTAAAGTTTAAGTATCTTTTTGATGAGTACTTGATATATTTTGTATCTTGAGTGGTTGTTAGTAATATTTTACTACGTTTTAAATCATTTTTGTTTAAAAATATAGTCATTATTTCAATGTTTTTGAGACTTTTTTTCAAAATTTGGCTAATTTTTTAGTTTTTTTTTCATTTTTGGTCGATTTTTAGATATCTGTTTGACGAGTTCTTGCTATTTTTGTGACTTTTAGGTTATTACTATCTGTATATTATACAGCGATTCGTTATACAGGAGTTGCGCTATAACTCCAGCTGTCAAAAAATTGATTTCTACTATCACACTTAATACCCTAGGCCTTAATAAACAACTTTGAAACCTGAATATTACCTAAAATCATACAGTTTCACTCTAAAAGGTTAAAATTTCCCCTCAAAACCCTTCAAATTCGAAGTTCATCCGCGAAACTTGTTTCATTTCGCCGGTTTTTGACTCATTTTTGCAACATTCCCCCACCCTTCCACGGTTACAGTTACAATGGTCACTTTCATAAATCACTCGACAACTCATAATCGCCCCGCCCGGATGTGGTGTGAAAGTGAAACCCGCCGGGGGCAGTTTTGTTTCATAAGTAATGACCCCGCTTCCGTTCAAATATTCGGTTTGGATTTCGTGGTTTTTAGGCTTATTTTCGTGGGTTTTAGGCTTATTTTATTGTGAACTCTTGTATAACGAACTCTTTTATAATCTTCTTACTCATAATCGCCCCGCCCGTCTAATAGAGGGGGTTTTTAGCGTGTTTTTTACAAGAAGTTTTTCTTCGGCTTTAATTAGTTACAGTTGATTAACTCTCGACAAGTGAAAAAAAGAGAAAATCTGGTAATACAGTTAGTTTTATCCTGTTTTCACTGTTTTAATTGGTCGCATCTCTTCTTTCAAATATTCAAAATTAACTCTTTTTGCACCTTTTCTTCAATTTTAAGCATTTACTACAATACTAATTGTCATAGAAAATGAGTCAGGTGGACACGGTTCAGAGCGGCAGGGTTCAGATAGGCTAGGTAGGCATGGATCATGTGCGCATGGACTATGAAAAACATTGGGTCAAATGGGCATGAGCCAAATGGGCTAGGGTAAAATGAGCATAGGTATGGTGGGAACGCGTCAGGTCGGCATGGGAGAGGTGAGCATGGGTAAGTTGAGCAAGCCTTTTTTTTGGGATGGGACTGGAAGGGTTAGCTGATCAGTGCTGGAGTTGGTCGAAAGGGGTGAGAAAGGGAAAGAAGGGGGAAGGTGTTTGGTAAAGTACACTTCCTGGGTAGGGTAAATTTTTTGGCGGGGCAGAAATTTTTAAAGAGTAGGTTAAAGGTAGAAGTAGGGGTAAGGGCAGCGGTAGGGGCAGGGGTAGGGGTAGTGGTAGGAGTAGGGGCAAGAGTAGGGGTAGGAGTAGGGGTAAGGGTAGGGGTAGGGTGGTGCAGGGTACAATTGGGGGTATGGGTAAACAAAAAAATTCAAAATTTTAATTTCTTTGTTTACCCATAGCCAGTCGTACACCAAACTTCCCTCCAAATTTAATCAAGCATCCGAGATCCCCCCTTGTACGATTAGTCCGTTGGTTAAAAACGAACATGTTGCAATCAGAGGCTGGCTCCTCTTGATTCCCCTCGAAGGGCTTGTAAGGGAAGAAAGACGTCCCCCCCCCCCTTTCTTTAATCTTCCCTTGATTCCTTTTTGCCTCTTGAGGCGTCGAACGGATTCACAAAACTTGGTTTATGCTTTCTTCGATTTACAACAAACGCTCGCTTAACTAAGGGCTATGGGCTTCGTTTTTTTTAGAAAAAAGATGGGGAAGGGTGGGAGCGGGGGAGGGGGGGGGGAAGGGGGGGGGGAGAGGGAAGGGGAAAAAAAGGGGGGGGAGTGATTAGTAGGTTTAATCTACCCGTGACAGCTTAGTATACATTTTACTAGGTTTTTCTCAATTACGAAGTCGATTTTGACAGGGAGGGGGATTTTCCAAATCTCAAAAAAAATTTAATTTGGGCCCTTGACCTACCCCGCCCTGCACAGAGTAAAATGTAAAACCCAGTTTTTTGAACTTCTATTTGCATTTTACCCTGCCCTAGCAATAGAAACAAGAAATCATCTATACCCAGCCTTTTCTCAGCAACCAATTTTAAAACCCACCTTATATGCCTTTATCTACACTGCCCTGTAAAAAAATCATAAGAGTACCCTACCCAGAATTTAATTTTACACCCCCTTATTGCACCTCCTCTACCCCTGCCTACGTAAATTTAACAATTTTTTAAATTCCTTTTAATAACCCATGCCCTGGCTTGCCTTATAACAGGAAATTTCATATATTACCATATAACACCGTAATTCTAGTTTACACACTGTGAATACGCCCTCCCTCTACCCCTGCCTTCATAAATTTATAAAACTTTTTTGAAATGACCCCTGCCTCGTCCTACCTGTGCTTTGTAAAAAAGCAGGGTTCATGGTACCCAATCGTGACTTCAAATTTACACCCCCCCCTTCTTTCTACTCCCAAGTAGAAAAGAAGGGTGTAAATTCTTCCCCCCCCCCTCGCTCTACCCCTCCCTTCATAAATTTATAAACTTTTTTAAAATGGCCTATGCCTTAGCCTACTCTTCTCTGTAAAAAAGTAGAGCGCAGGGTACCATGTCCTCAATTCAACTGTCTACCCCCTTCTACCCTGCCCCTCACCCCTGCTTCATATTTTTTTTAAATTTTATTTCAAATTTTAATTTTTTTTTCAACCACCATACCACTTCCTTATCCCACATCTTTTAACCCAATTCAGCGTGCAGATGTCGCAGATGTTATGTAATCCCCCCCCTTCTGAATTTCCCGGTGTGTTTTTTCCCAAACTTTTGATGACATTTCTTTTTTTGGGCGACAAAACTTGTTTCGCGGCTCAGTGAGATTTCTAAAGCTTATCAACTCTAGCTGACTTTTATGCTGTCTGTGGTTGTGTTCGTCTCTTTCACGCGCGATTATGTAATCAAAAGTTTTGGGAATGGGCTGTTAACTGAGTTAAAAATGTAGTATGGGGTAGGGGTAGGTGTAGAGGTACATGTCACGGTAGGAGTAAGAGTAGGGGTAGTTGTAGGAATAGAGGTCGCGGTAAAGTAAAGGGGTAGAAAAGGGGTAGGGGTACGGATATGGGTAGAGGTAAGAATAGCGGTAGAATTTATAATAAGGGCAGTGTTTTGCCTGACCGGTCCGGTCCGCGGACGGGTCCGGTCCGGACGGAAACAAAAATTTTTGCGGACCGGACCTAAAAATTTAGGGGTTTGGACCGGACCCGAAAATCACCGGGCCGGACCAAGAAAAACGCTCCGGACCGGTCCGGGAAAAACACCGGGTAAGGGTATGAATAGGCGTAAAGGTGGGTTAGGGGTAAAGGTAGGCGTAGGGGCTGGGGTAGAGTCAAAAGTAAGGATATTTCAGCCAAAAAAATTTTTTTTTTCATTTATCAATCCAAGGTAGAAATAAAGCTTATATAAAGTAGGACTAAAAATTTTCCTTCTAATATTCAGCCTAAATAACTTTTTTCCATGAAATTGAACCTATACTTTTGACATTTGAAGAAACAAGCCTTAAATTCCCATTTTCCAAGCCTAAACTTCCATTTTTTTCAAAATCAAGCTTAAAAATATGATTTTTTCAAGTTATAAGCCTATTTTTTTCTTTCTCTAACATAATCGCCTGCTTTTCATACACTGACCTTAACGTTTCTAGGAAAATTAAGCCTAAAATTAAACAAAATCAAAAGTTAAGCCTAACAAAACAGATAATAATAGCGTTATGGGTATTAGTAGGGGTATGGTAAAGGGTAGGGTAAATGTAGGAGTACGAGCATTACAGGTAGGGGTAGAGTAAAAGTAGGGGTAGTAATGATCGAAATAAGGGTAAAATTATTAGGTAAGGGTATTTAAGCCTAAAATTCTCTAAAAATGAAGCCTAAATCCCTTTTTCCGATAAAATTATGTGTCAATGTTGACCAAGTCAAAAGTTAAGCCTAAGCGTTCATTTTTCAATCATATTGTAGCTTAATTTTCCATTTTTAGGAGCCTTCAGCCTAACAACTATCCCCTACCCTGCTTTTGCATTTCTCTTTCCTAATATTTATACCTAATTTCAAGATTTTTAAAAATTTGTTCGCTATAAAGGAGTTGCGGTATAAAGGAGCTCGTTATACAAAAGTTTTACTGTATTTACCTCCCCCCCCATCCTAGCGTACCGACTTTTACAAATTTTTCGTGAAAGCCTCATTTTCTCTCCCCCAAAATCTAATTCCAACCCAATTTCAGGATGATCTCAATACCCATTTTCTTCCTTTTACTTCCCATAATAACCCTATCACAACATGAATCCCCATTCGCAGCACGGCCATTACGAATTCGACTGGTAAATTACGAAAAACGCTACCAAGTACGACACGCTGCCACACCTTTTGAACTGTCTGGCAGTACGAATACAAACAGTCCTTCTATTGAGTTCAGTGAGGATTCACCTAGTAATGTGGTGTCTAGTCAATCATCGTATCTTCATAGTATTAGGAAGAGAATACGTGGAAGTAAGTTTGGAAAGAAAGTTCTTGCCATTTTTTGTTTTGTAAAGAAAGTTCTTGCCATTTTTTGTTTTGTAAAGAAAGTTTTTGCAATTTTTTAATTTGTAAAGAAAGTTTTTGCTATTTTTTGTTTTGTAAAGAAAGTTCTTGCCATTTTTGGTTTATTAAAGAAAGTTTTTGCCATTTGTTCTACCAAAAAAGCTCTTTTTGTAATCTGCAGCCCGCAGGTGACAAGTTATACGATAAATAACATTCTTTGTTTTGTAAATAAAGTTTTTGCGATATTTTGCTTTGTAAAGAAAGTTCTTGCTATTCACTCTACTATAACCATAATTTTTCCCATTTCCAGCCAAACTTCACACAGTATCAACAGCCCTATCCCACTTATCATCGGCCGAACCTTTGGAAGGAATGAGAGAGGTGGACGGCTCGAATGAAAATATTCAAAATTCACCGGAAAAAGCGGTAAAGAAGCTGTTTGAAGACTTGAATACTACTACTACACAACCTCAAGTCGAGTCGAATGACCAAAAAGTTGGAAAACGAAACGAAAAGTTCGCTGAACCTACTCCAACCAACTCCGGGTCAACCAAGTTTAGGGCGCCGGTTAATAAAGAAGGTGGGTTTTGAGGTTTTGAATTTAAAAAACTAATTTAAAAAGCTAGATATTCAATTATAAGACACATCTATTGCCTAAAAACCCTTAAAAATGGAAAAATATGGCCGAAAACCAATGAATATTAGGCTAAAACTTCAAAAATTACAACAAAACTTCAAAAAATTAGCAAAAAATTAGCAAAAAATTAAGCTTAATCCAAGGCTAAGTCTTTTCGCGATTCTATAATTCCAAAAAAAGTGCAGCAGCCCCTCATATCAACATAGAAAAACAACAAAAACTAGCCGAAAACTTTCAAAAATTCCAAAAATCCGCAAAAATTGAGCCTAAAACCCCTAAAAAATTATAAATACACCCCTAAAAAAATAAAAATTAAGCCTAACCCAAGCCTATACCTTCTTACAACCCTATAAATTCAAAAAAGTGCAAAAAGTTCTGCAGGAAGTGGGATTCGAACCCACGCATCGATAACGATACTAGAAGGCTCCGAACCGTCGATTCTCACGACGAAGCGTTTCGCTTGAGTCTAGCGCCTTAGACCACTCGGCCATCCCTGCACACTCCCGAGGGCTCTTCGTTTTCTCTCTATTCTTTTAGAGACAGCTTTTTTTGATTTTTGATAGGAAAGTTAATGAAAATGAATGTAAATTGAGGTGATTTTAGATAAGCAAGAATTAATAATGTCCAAAAATTCATTAGGAATCAAAATTATAATTAAAAATTCAAACAAAATGCTTTTTTTGTTTCGTAAAGAAAGTCCTTGCAATTTTTTGTTTTGTAAAGAAAGTTCTTGCCATTTTCAACTTTGTAAAGAAAGTTCTTGCCACTTTCAGTTTTGTATAGAAACTTCTTGCCATATTTTGTTATGTAAAGAAAGTTTTTACCATTTTTTGTTTTGAAAAGAAAGTTTTTTCCAATTTTTGTTTTGTAAAGTAAGTTCTTGCTATTTTTCCTTTTGTAGAGAAAGTTCTTGCTATTTTTTAGGAAAGAAAGATTTTGCCATTTTTAAATTTATAAACAAAGTTTTTGCCATTTTTCCTTTTGTAAAGAAAGTTCTTGCCATTTCTTAATTTGTAAACAAAATTCTTGCCATTTTATGCTTTGTAAAAAAAGTTCTCGCCATTTTTCCAAAATTTCGATTTTTCAGAGGTCTAGGCTTCTTTTACTTCAATAATAGGTGTATATGAAGACTGACGCTTATAATTTTAAAATTTAAAATTCCAGCCCTCCACGTAGAGAAGCCCCACAACGTCTCAGAGATCATTCAAGAGCCTCCAAAAGGTAATCAATCAATGACAGCGATGACTGAGCTCGATGTCAAATCCGATGAAATGCTACAGAAAACGTTCCGTCGTACCACCTTAGCCAGTATAAACTACAAAGACACAACCACACCTCTCCCGAAGCTTCAGACCCTTCCTACGGCCACAACTCCAGTTAGTTCTACTGGTGCTGTTTTTACTTTACCGCCATTGTTTGCTGCGCCTAATTTGGAATTGGCTGATCCTCCGGCTAACTCTAGGCAACAGCCTTTGGCTCAGCTGCCTACCAGTGGCTTTAGTGATGGTGGTGGAGGTAAAAATTATATCAAAAATTTTTTTTACTTAAATTGAAAAAAATATCCACCCCACCTTATCAAAATCACACCTCCCCCCTGGGCTAGGTTTTCTCTTAACAACTAGTTATGACACGTTAAGGCACAAAACGAAGTTTCGTATTTTACCAAAAACATTTCCAGCCCCAGTCCAGCACGTAGCAGCCCAATTCGACGCTCCTTCAAAGCAACCGCCCCGCCAGGTTACCCCATCTTCACCCTCACCCCACACTCAACCTCAATCCTCCCTATCAACCTTATCTCGACAAGAATCAGTCCAGTCCACCACACCAAGCAGCACCGATTTGGAGCAATTAGGGTGTGGATTTGACCTTCTAACCCAGACTTGTAAAGACGTATTTGGGCTTGGTTGGTGCTCTCAGTGTACTGATTTGGGTAATGTATTTCTGCATGACTGCAAGTGCGCTGCACCAACTGAGTTGGGCCGAACTGCTAATGCTTTGTTCACTCAACCTCCCAGCACTACGCCTTATGATGCCCTTGGGCAACAAAGCGTTCTGCAGCAACAAATTGCAGCGCAACAAAATGCTTTAGCGCAGCAAAATGGTCTAGCTGGCCAAGGTGTTCAGTTTGGCCAAGGAGGTCAACAACTCGGTCTGAATGGTCAGCTAAGCCAGGCTGGTCAGCTAAGCCAAACTGGTCAGCTGAGCCAAGGAGGTCTAGGTACTCAACAGCTAGGCCAAGAGAACCAACAATTCGGCCAAAACAACCAATTCGCTAGCCAAAATAATCAATTTGCGACCCAAACCCCTAATGGACAACTTCATGCCGCAACTTTACAAGCCCAACAACTTCAGAATGGTCAGACCCAGCAACTTCCGCAACTCGGTACTCAGCAACTTCAGCAACAAACCCTCCAAAACCTTCAACCTCAAAACCTAAACTCACCCCTCCACGCTGGCACTTTACAAAACCAACAACTACAGCAAGTACCAACAGTACCTAATCTTCAACAAGTACCAACAGTACCTAATCTACAACAAGTACCAACGGAACCAAACCTACAATTGAATGGGCAACTTCCTCAACAAATTAGCTCTACTCAGCATTTAGTTCCGCCGCAACAATTCGCTCCGCAATTCGCGCAACTTGCACCGCAACTACCGCAACCTCAGGCGCTTAGTGGGTTCGTTCAGCAACCGACTTGGGCGTTATAAGAGTGGTACTGTAAGAGTTGTTTAGTGGTCTACATGGTCGTTATAATTGTGTTACATTAAGAGCAGCTTAACGGCATGGTTACCCCTTTTAAGCGTGGTCCAGTAAGAATAGTTTACTGGTTTAAATGGTCGTTATCAGTGTTATATTAGGTTGAACCAAAAGTAGTGGGACCCTTTTCAATTGAAAAATAAATAAAAAGTGTCCCGCTACTTTTGGTTCAGCCAATAGTGTAACAAAATAGTTTATTTTCTACCAAGTATGTACTATTATAATAGCTATATCAAGGTTAGCGTAATACCCTACTTAACCAGTGTTTTGGCAATAACTTTTTTTAATACGGGTTTCATGTTTCAAGCAAGCAAATGAAAAGTTTGCAATATAATCTGTTATATTAGTCTCGCTAGCTAGTTGAAAGTGCAATTATCTTTCTAAATTTACTGTAATCAAACTGTCTTTTTAAAATTTTAAAAATTTCATGTATTGTCCACTTATGTTTCCCAGTCGTACTTTACTTTTTTTAAAACTTAACCCTTGTTTGTCTTCTCAAATTTTCAAACTCATTTTTTTTTTCATTTATCAGCATGGCCGAGCGCTTTGGGGGAAAAAAGTCTAATAAACTTGGCCTTTAGTCCGATTTTTAGCACAGTCCATAAACCAAGCTTAGTTTTTCTTAGCCTATCCTTTAAAAAATTCTAGGAGGAAGGCAACCCTTTTACAAAAAATGTTTTGAGCTCGCGGACCAAGGTAAAATTTTTTTTTCAGTCTGTCTCCATAAAGTCCCAATTCTATGAGAAGACCTTTTCACAAAAAAAAAGTTTTTTTATTTTGGCTTAAAAAACAAGCTTAATTTCTTGCCCAATCTAAAAATTAATGTAGAGGACCCTTTCACAAAAAGGTAGCTTTTGCTTAGGAATAGGGAAAGAGAGAGGGAGCGAGAAAAAGATTTTAAACGTTGGGGTGGGGTGAACCAAAAAACTTTTTTTTTTTAATTCTGAAAAAATCAGAAAAGGCACTTCTTTTAACAAACCATGCCCCGCCATAACGTTAACTTTCTTCTCCCCCTTCAGCTCCAAGATCCCCTCCCTCCAAGCACAACCCTTCCCTGCTTTCTCTCCCCTACTAGAGCTCTCATGCAGCTCCGAACCCTCAGCAAAAACCTTACATCCAACCCACTCCAGCACATCAAATCCCAGTCTTCCCTCCCGTGCCAGATCCAACCCCCCTCCTCCAAGCACAATCCTTCCCTGCCTTCCGACTCCCTTCTAGAGCTCCATGTTCAGCCCAGCCCTCACTGCCACTTTTACCCCCTCTCCGCCCCCAACCCCCTCATATCCTTATGTACTATAATATAATCCTGATGATCTTTGTATAAAGAAAATAATTGTGATTTCAATCTTTTGTTGTCTTTCTTTCTCTTCTATTTCTTATTATTGTTCATTTATTGTTATAATTATCTTGTTAATCGAATAAAATAGAGGTAAAAAAATATATCACATTGGTTGTTTATAAGATTATTAGGTATATCAGATTAGTGTTAAGGATGTCATAATTATCACATTGTTGATTGAAAGGAATGTCAGATATGATATGAAAAGGGTGATAAGATTAAGAATACACCTTTGGCTAGTTTATGAAAAATTGACTGATAAGGGGGTGTTTTACAATGTTTAAGAGGGGAAATGCATAATCTCAAGCATAGGACGGGTAGAACTTGTCATAGATATCAGTTTTCGGCCACTTTTACTCAAAATTTTAAAAAAATTTTGAAATTTCAAAAAAAAAAATTTTAATTTCAAAAAACCGAAATTTTTAAACAACTAGAAACCCAGAAACAAGGTTTTTAATATTTAAATAAATTAAAATTAAACTTTAAATTTAAAAAATACCAAAATTTCAAAAAAAAATCAAAATTTCAAAAAACTCAAAAATCGACCAGTCGAATCCCGCTCAAAATGAGACAAAGTAAAAAACAAGAAAAAAGAAAGACTAGACTTACAAGACTCCCGGTCGATAATTAAGGTTCATGTTGGTCACGTTCCGCGTCGAACCAGTCCGATCCCATCGACGATTGAGGTTCGTCATCGAAAACCTTGAACAGTCCGGACTGTGAACTGTTTTGAGACAGATCTTCTTGACCTTCCTGATGTTTATGTTGTGGTAGACATGAGCGGGGAAAGATTTGAATCTAGAATGGCGTATTTTTAATTAAAAATAGCAAAAAATAACCCAAAATGGCCCAAAATCATCATTTTTCTCGAAAAAACGGTAAAAGTAAGCCTAAAACCTCAAATAATTATTAAAAATACCCCTAAAAACCAATAGAAATAAAGCCTAACGCAAGCCTATACCTTTTCGCAACTTTATAGATTCAAAAACGTGCAATAGCCACTTATATAAACGTAGAAAAGCAACAAAGAGTAGATAAAAACACTCAAAAATCGAGCTAAACTCCCAAAAAATCACAAAACCACCCCTAAAAACAAATAAAAATTAAGCCTAACCCAAGCCTATACCTCCTTACAACCCTATAAATTCAAAAAAGTGCAAAAACTTCTGCAGGAAGTGGGATTCGAACCCACGCATCGATAACGATACTAGAAGGCTCCGAACCGTCGATTCTCACGACGAAGCGTTTCGCTTGAGTCTAGCGCCTTAGACCACTCGGCCATCCCTGCACACTCGCGAAGGTTCTTCGTTTTCTCTCTATTCTTTTGGAGGCGGCTTTTTTTGATCCTTGATAGGGAAAGGAATGTAAATGAATGTAAATTGAGGTGATTTAAATGTGTATGAATTAATAATGTCTAAAAATTTATTAAAAATCAAAACTTTAATTAAAGAAATCAAAACAGCCATAATTTCAATGTAAAATACGCGTTCTTGGCGTTGGAATCAAATTTGGATAATAAAATAATAAGCCGTGCTGTGATTTGAGTTTTGATAAAGTGTTATATAATAACATTTTTGTTTTGTAAAGAAAGTTCCTGCCGTTTTTGTTTCGTAAAGAAAGTACTCACCTTTTTTTTCTAAAGAAAGTTCTTGCCATTTTTCCCTCTCCCAAGCCAAGTCTAACCACCTCACCACAAAATTGACCTTCCCACCCAAACCTAATCACCCTATCTCCGTACCCCACCCTTCTCTTTAAAACTTCTGATAACCCCTCCCATCGTCCTCAAACCTCCCTCACTAGACATGAGAAACGGCTAACATTCAGGCCCGGCCCGATCGAAATTTTGCTCAGGGCCGGCCCGGACCGGTGGTAGGCCCGGGCCTAAAATTTTTTTTACGTGGAAACGGGCCGGGCCCGGCTGATTTTTTCAGGCCCGGCCCGTTTCTCATGTCTATCCCTCACCCCTCTATTTAAAAACCCTGATCACCCTTTCCCCCACCCCCGCCCTTACCCCAACAAACCCTAATCCCCTCCCCTCACCCTATCCCACCAAACCACACCCCCCCCTTTTCCTCCTTACCTCATGCTTGACCAAGCAGTTGTTCATATCCAGTCCCCAAAGCCTCTGTTCAAACCCATCCACTGATATTGCTCTTAGCGTGGCTGGGATCGACTTCCAATACAGTCCAGCTGGATTGGTGGCTGATAATGCCCTGAGGCGGAACAGCTTATTTGTACCATTTTCAATCGCATATACGGCATTATCAGCTATAGCCAATGATTCAATCTTAATATCTGGACAGGCTTTAGTCCATGTTGAGTCGTCTCTCGTGTGTTCACCTTGATACTGGCTATATTCACCATGGCTAACCTGGTATTCACCATGCCAATTCTTATCTTCACCACGCCCTCTATTATCCCCACTCTTTCTCCTGCCATATTCACCACCATTCCTGTCGAATCCACTGATAATCGACCGATTACTATCAGAAGTTGCCATTTCCTCCGACCTCTGACCATTTTCGAGCCGCGCCCATGCCACGCCTTGCAGGGTGGATAATATCCAAACGTATTTGCCTGATGGTGAGCAGAAGACATGGTCAATGTTTTCGTTTTTTGGTCCTGTTACTCTCGACCAATTGGTAAATGAGGCTTTTGAGGATTGGGGTGAGGTCCAAATGGTACCATCCGATGTTATGGCCCACAAGGAGGTGGATGAGGCCGCGAAGGACATTATTGGGTGACCTGAAATTATATTTTTTTTTGATTTTAGGTAACAAAAACTTAAGATAACCTAAAAATTTTTAAAAAACGGCAAAGAGTTTCTTTACAAAACCAAAAAATATTTTTCATCGTATAACTTGTCATCCGCAGGCTGCAGAACACAAAAAGAGCTTTTTTAGTAGAATAATTAGCAAAAACTTTCTTTAAAAAACCAAAAATGACAAGAACTTTCTTAACAAAACAAAAAATGACAAGAACTTTCTTTAAAAATGAAAAAACAGCAAAAACTTGCTCTCCAAGCCCTTACCCAATCCAACAACATTCAATTTGACCCATTCCGTTCCTCTTGGAGTTAATTGTGAATTGATTCCATCTCTAACACTCACCGTTCCACACGAATCCAACGCATAAAGCCGATCTTTGGCCGCAGTTAGCGCTATAACCGTTCCGCAGGCGGCGCTCTGGCCCAAACCAGCATACACTCTTTGGTCTAGTCCTGGCATGGACGTGAGGTTTCTGTGGCTAGCCGAGAACGCAAAAATGTCGGAATTCGGCTGGCCTACGTATATGTAGTCATTGCTTTCGCCACTGAACCCCGAAGCCGTTATCAGGAGGAAGGCATCGTGGATTTGAAGTCTTGTAGGTATGGCTCGGTTGAAGATGTGCGCTGTTAATGGTTGTCGTGAGCTGAGAATGTATTTCCCAACACTTATAAAGACTCCTGAAGCCGCTACCTTTAGGCGCCATTGTGAGATGGGGAGGAAGGACTTTTTTTGGTTGGGTAGCATAAGGTTCGTTGGGGAGCAGACCTGAAATTAGATGGGGTAGAAGGCTGAAACTTTGTAGCAACGTTCACAAGACTTTACTTTATCATTCAATGACAAAACCATCACAAAGGAATAGCAATACGTCAAGGTATAAACAAAAATGTCCAAAACATCGATCGAAAACTGCGTTTTTAGGTGAATAACACAAGGTAATATACCCGTCCCCACCTTACCTGATACCACTTGCCCACTCCAAAAGGTTTGTGTTCATCTACACCATTGCAAATCCATAGTTCTCCATTCGAGTCCAGTCCGAAAGCGGTTTTCTCGTATAAATAGATACTGACAAAGGTGGATGGGCCTGAGAATGTGTAGCTACTAAAACATAAAGGCTTTTATATTTAAAATATTTGGTTGTTCAAATAATTCTGTGCCCCCTTTCAAAGCACAATTTAGAATTAGTGGCTCATTATTATTTGAACAACCTAACACAAAAATTTCAAAAACGCAACAATCGACTGGTCGAACCCCGCTCAAAGTAAGACAAATTCAAATAACAAGGCTCATAATTATTTGAACAACCCAATATATAATTCAATATTAACTTACCTATCCTCCACCCAATCCATGCCCATAGGACAATGTTTCAGCCCGACGCGTACAACCAAGCTTCCGGTACCCTTCCGCAAGCCCCATACAGCATGTTCGGTCGCTGTGATTTGGTCCAACTCGAAAGGGCATTCAGCATGATACAGTATGCCCATGTCTGGTAAGTTCATTTGAACGTACGGTCCTTTGCTGGTCAAGTACCATGCTGATTTTTCGGTTAGTGCTATGTCGTAAATCTTGCCTTCGTTCGCTTGTTCCAACCAATGTTTGGCCAGAGGGCAAAGGGAGTCGACCTTTATTGGCGCTAATGCCACGCCTTTTTCAATGCGCCATAAAAGAGTACCAAAGTCTAAAATTTAATGCTATCTTAAAAATCATGAAGCAAAAAATTTAAAAATACTATTTTACTATTGTTTTCCCCCTTTTATGTTATTAAATTATCAATTTTGCCTTAAAATCAGCAATTTTTAGTTCCGCAGCTTGCTGGAGACATGTTATACGAAAAACATAAAAACGCCCAAAAAAAGCAAAAAAATCCAAAAAATCGTGATATCTGACGCTTAATAATATTCAAATTCCCATATTTACCAAAAAAAATTAATTTTTAAAATCTGTGACACGTTATACGATAAAACATGTCCCTCGACCTGCGCCCTATATAATGTCAAAAAGTTCATAAAGTGTATAAACCGACATTAAATACAATTTACTATTTAAAAGTTGTAAATTTACAAGTTTTCGTTTCAATTGACAAGTTATACGATCAAACATGTCCTCCGACCTGCTTCCTACAAACCTCCCCCCCTCCAAAAAAATCTAAATAAACTACCATTAACAGCCACCATATCAGCCTTATAGCCAACCGGAGTCCAATCCCCACCCAACATAGCATTTTCCATCGTTTCGACCAGTCGATAATGGGGTTTTTGTCTGCTTTTCGTGCCACATATGACAATGTAATTCGTTGTTACATCGAAATGTCCCACCGAGTAGGGTAAGTTAATACGATTCCAAACGTCAGTACGTTGATTCGCTAGCCGTGATACTGTAGAGTACTCGGGATTCTGTTGAATTTCCACTGATATTGAGGATGATACATTTGATATGAGTGTAACGTCGGATTCGGCTACTGAATCCGATCGTGCCACTAAATCGACAACTGGAATAGAAGACTCTGTAGATTCGACTACTGAATTCGCTTCAAGATTCAAATTTTCGGTCGATTCTGAAGGTTCTCGGTCGTTTTTGAGCCATTTTTCATGGTTTTTGGTCTCTTTTCTGCCATTCTTTTTATTATATCTTCCTTCTTCGTCTTCTGAATCCCCTGATCTTGATGTAGAAGCTTCAAAATTCTCTTCTTCATCCTTTTCTACTTCAGAGCCTTCTTTCCCATCGTTCTCCGCTTCAGAATCCTGATTTTCTTCATCGCACACACCAGCTTTAGCCCCACATTCAGCCATTTTTGCTCCAAAATCGCTCATTTTAATTCCATTATCAGATTCATAAGCTGACAAAATTGATGATACTGTAACTTCCGGCTCTTCTACAATAATCTCGTCTCCATAACCATGATCGGTTGGTACCCAATGAGGTAATGGTACCACTTTTACGTCTTCTGACAGGACTTTTGACTTTGAAATGGCTAAAAATTTATTGATTTTAGTTCGGAATGTTTTTAAAATTGAAAAGAGTGTCATTTTAGACTATAAAACCAAAAAATAACGCTTTTAAAGCGGTCGAAAAAGTCTTGTCGTCAATTTATATTGATTTAAAGGTAAAAAACGACAAAACTTTTTTTTCATAAAACTTTTTGTAAAATGCCATAACTTACCAAATGTAAGTCTACAAATAAAAAAAAGTCTTGTCGTCAATTTACATTAACTTTAACCATAAAAAAAGACAAAACTTTCCTAACCCCCAAAATCTTGACAAAAATTTAAAAAAAAATTGCCATAACTTAATTAAACAACGTAGTAAAAATTAAAAATATGACAAAGTAGTATCATCTTAATATGTTACAACCATTTCCTCAAAAAATCCCCACGTACCTCCTAAGATATTGCCTAAATTCTCGTTGAAAACCTCATTTTCAGTCAATTTTTCGTCAAAATCTTCAAATTTTCGCTCATTTTCCATTTGTTTTTCATGTTTCGGCCTTGGTTTTGTCTTCATCTTTCTTACTACTCCAACTTTTGGTTCCTCCACGGCTATTGGTTTGAATTCTGGCACTAATCCACCTTGTTCTTGCTCGGATTCTATAACAACATTTTTAAAAAATAAAAATATTAAAAATTGTTTAATTTTTAAAAAAATCATTTAATATAGTACCAATAGTACCAAAAAATAATATAAACATTGTTTTCAAAGACAGTCTAAAAGAAATGGCACAAAAATCACGAATTTTATAATTCGGCCGTACATAAGTTGACAATCCGGCCGTACATAAGTTGTAAATTCGCCCGTACATAAGTTAGCAATTCGGCCGTACATAAGTTAATAAAAAAAAGTTCAAAAATGCCATTTTGCATTAATACTTTAAAAAAATAATAAAAAACAAATAAGAAAAATAATTTCTTATTCATTTTTAACATTTTAAAAATATAGACAAGTTATACGATAAAACGTATACTTCAAAAATCCCAAAAAAGCTTTAGACACCTACTTTCGCTCAAAACTTCGACTTCTTTCCACTCTTCTTTGACTTCTTTTCCTTCCATTTTTGTTTCTATATCTCCATTTATTACTCCATTAGCTGTACCATCTTTGTCACTACCTTTATCCTCCCTACCATCACTTCCAAGACCTCTACCACTCTGACTATCAGCAATACTTTGGGTACCATCCTCAATATCACTCTGTTTACCCAACACCATGCTTCTTTTGCCATCATTTCTACTCGTAATCTCATCCTTTCGATCTGATTCAAATTCGCTTTCTTCCGTGACTTCTTCTGAATCCGAAATTCGACCTACGTCCTCAAATGGTCTTACAAATTCGGTTTGAACTGGCGCTTTGTCCGGACTGACAATTCGTTCGATACTCTCCAAAACGTTTGTGAATCGTTGTTTTTGCTCGTCTATCTAAAACAATGTTGTTTTATGTTACTCATTTCACATTTTTTTCAAATAATTTTGATTTTATATTATCCATGACTCTTTGTTACCTAAAAAATATTTTCTTCCAAAAAAATTTAAAGTAGTATGTTTTGCCACAAATTAAGTCAATTTTCTCATTTTTTCAAAAATTTTGTCACTACTTTTGGTTTTTCGACCAAAAACTCAATTTAAAAATTCAACTTCCAAAAATTCCGCCAAAAGTTCAAATCATCTGTATTTTGCTAAAAACAATTTTTTTCAAATTTTTGAACCATTAGTTCTATTTTCTTATCAAAAAAAGTTCAAATTTTCATTATTTTTCTTTTGAAATTCAAATTTTCAAAATCCCGCCAAAAATAAAAAAGTTTGGCATTCTGCTTCAGCCTTCGTTCATAACACTGTTTGTTGTCGTTTTTACGTATTTTTTAACTCTAAATATTAGCAAAGTTTATCGATTTTCGGTAAAAGTACAAGTAAATATTCAAATTTTAAAAATCCCGCCAAAAATAAAAACTTTGGCATTCTGTTTATCTCAGGTTTTTTGTAAAATACGAGCATGCTTATTTGTCATTTTAGATCAAAAATATTGTTTTTAATGATATTACACAAATTTTGCTTTTAAAAACAGTATCACACCTTTCATTCCCCAGTTTTTACCCTACCCTTCCTTCTACCTTAACCTTTAATATTATATTACCCTGAATCCTACTTTTGCCCTTGCTCCCTAATCGCCCTACCTCTACTCCTACTCTTACCACTACTCCTACCTTAACAACTGCCCCCACCCCGCCATTACCTACATTAATAAAGTTCTGTAGAGTTCCACTGAGAGACTGCGGTAGATGACTTTGAATACTGGGTAGATGACCAGCTTGAATTTCTTGAAATCCTTCGGGTTTTGTAAACTTTTGAAACCATTTTCTCGACGAGGATTGAGCGACCGAACTTATCGATGAAAACATCGATGAATTCGAGGTTTTGCCTAGTAAATGGGCGTCACCCGGCTCGAATCCAACCCTTAGGATGTGTTTTGAAGACGTTAGAACCAGGGTTTCTTCTGATTTTGGGTCGAAATCCACGGATATTATCTAAAACTTGCAAAAAAAAAATTTTTTTTTCAAAATTTTTAAAAATTTAAAAAATCAAAGGCTACAACCTCAGAAGAAACAAAAAACATATTTTCACCCACCTCAACGTCCCTTAAGCTAGGTAGTTGTGACCTCAAGTCTATGACATATAGTTGTAATGGAGTGTCAATCCTTTGTACATCCAATACCTGTACTTTATGTTGAGAGTACTGTAGAAGATAGCAGTTGGCATAGAATTGTGATACAGCAAATTTCCAGTCCATTTTCGTCCACGTACACGGCCTAAAACAAGTTTTTATAAGAAAAAAAGCGGTTTTGTTACCTAAAATAATATAATTTTGGTATGAAACAAGTCAATTTAGGCTTAAAGTCTTCAAATTAACTTGAAACGTATAATTCTTAATATAAACAATGGTCTTTCAAACCCATATCACCTAAATTTAGGTCAAAACGCCCCCAATTTAAGCCTAAAACATAAAATTTTAAGCCGAAAACCCCATTTTTAAACCAAAAGCAAACCTACGCAGCCTCCCGTATCTCTCCACTAACAAAAACCTGAGGCATCAACTCAGATTCTACTGTAATGTCAGCCAGATCAACAGTTATTTCCATTTTCAGATCACTCGTCGAAAATCGAATCAATTTTCCATCAGCCAATACCATGGATAATATACTTTCGAAAAGTTGAATACCCGTCACCTTCTGACCCACATCTTGCTCATGAACATGTGTAATTTGATCATGTTCAAAGTGTAGTATACCAAATTGTTTGCTTTCTACTGATATTAGGTAATCTGGCTCAAAGGCGAGCATTCTCAACGGATTCCCATTGTTTTGAATGAATATTGGTGTGAATTGGTCCTGAAATTGTTTTTGAGCAACAAAGTTTACACTTAAAACGTGCCCAAGAGTCTCTGCTTCCTTTACACAATCCTTACTGTTCTCTACATAAAGCTTTCCAACATTTATGACCAAAAAAACCAACATAAACACCCAGTTTTAACCAATGATAATATGAGTTTTTGCTCTCAAAACCCTTAAACGCTAATACCATCTAATTGCTAACTTCAAATAGCTTCCTCTGTATCTAAACGTCAAAACAACAAAAACCAACTTACATTACTAAAATCAACAGTTAAAGCCATAACAAGACCAGAAGCATCAGATGAAAACAAGTATTTGCCATTTTTACTCCATTCCAATGCAGTAACAGCGCAATGTTTATGAAGATCATTTTGAATAGTTTGTTTTAACTGTAAAAACGCTTATTAAAAATGTTTATTACCTAAATTTAAAATATACATTCAAAAAATAGGTCAAAGCTTATATTACTCACACTTTTGGTAGAAGAAGGTAAAGACAGCACGATCAAACTGCCTGATCGATGTCCCACTGCCAAGAATTCGTCCTCATAAAGATGATACCACTTTTGAACAGTCACTACTTCGTTATATGTTGTTCTCAAGCTGTAAAATAGAGATAGTAACATTAAGCTTGAAATTTAGGTAGGTTATCGTTGCTTTTAGTCATAAAACATAAATTTGAAAGTCCATATTATCGATAGTACTTTTAAAACGTTCAAAATGTCATAAAGCATATTTGGAAACATCAAAAAGTCCAGTTCCATAACCTAAACATCAAAAATCTATAAAAATATAAACTTACGGCTTCAAAGCTCTCTTTAGTCTCCGATTATACAAAAACAAAGCTCCACATTCAGATCCAATTGATATAAAGTTACCTGAGACACTTATGGAGCATAATCGAACTTTAAGAGTTCCATAATCAAAAGTTGAAGGCACCTACAACAAGATATTACTTTATGTTCACCATGCTAAGCTTTGCCGTTTTTTATTTTCAAAAATATTTTTAATACTTAATTAATATCCATTATATACCTAAAACAAAACTTAAATTTTACAAATATATCAATTACATATTGTTTACATTGCTCATTTATAAACAAAAGCCCTTTGAAAACCAATATTCTAGTAGATTACCTCAGCCAAAGCTCCCACACAATTGTCAATGTAGATCTCAGTTTGATCTGAACTATTAATTGATGTTGAAGGACCTTCTGAATCCATCTGCATGCTTTTGATATTGTTTTACATTGTTCGGATAATAAAATTGATAAAAATATTATTTATTTCGGATCAATAGTTTTTGCGGCGGAACACAACAATTGATTCGTTGAGGAGTAGAGACAGCCGGCGGATTTTGAAAGATTTGAAGGCTGCAATTAATGAAATAAATGTTGAAAAAGTATTTAAAAATAAAATTATAAAATTTTTGTTTTGTATTTTAGTCAGAAACGGCAGTTTATCTTTAGTTGAAGGCTCTAAATCAAGATTTTTCCCATTTTTTCACCTAAAATTAATGGAATCATAACTTTGTTCAAACTAAATTTTACTGTCTATAACTTCTATATATGATAGATGTATGGCTTGGCAATGTTTTAAAAATTAACACACTTTAATTTTGAAACCATTTTTATTTCACTTAAACTCATTTTCTCATGTTCACCATGGCCAAAACTTCAAAAACTGAGCCAAAGTGCCATTTTTGGCAAATCTCGAACTAAAAATTTAAAAATAATATTGTTTAGTACATTATCAAGATGTCGTCATTCAATTTCTACAAACAATTTTTTTCTTAATTAAGAATTTGATAATTGAAAGATAGCAATATCAATACCTATAAACATTGGTGGAAGCACAGTTTATCAGTTTCAAAATGCGTTTTCAATTTTTGTTTCTGACAATTCTTTCCGTGGCTTTGGCCAACGTTTTGAAGCTACAATTGGCCAAGACTGTGGTGAAACGGCCAGGTCTTCAGGCTGGCGGTGGTTATTATGACAAACCTTTTGAGCTGTATGAAAGTAGGTTATGTAAACACAAAATAATAGTATCATAAAAAGTGGAATTACGTATTTTACAATAATATAATCATAAGTTTCATATTTTATCAAAAAAGATTAAAAAAATTCAAATTTCCAAAATCCCGCCAAAATTAAAAAACCTTTGGCATTGCGTTTCTACCCTAGATTCTTACTTTCATAGGATTGTATTAACATATCAAATTAATATTTTTCAATTATTTTTGTTTTTCAATCGACAAAACAAAGTAAAATTTCAAATTCCCAAAATCCCGCCAAAATTGTAAATCCATGGCATTATGTTACAACCTAACTATTTTGTAAGAAACAACTTGTCAAGCCCTTAAAATATATTTTTCAACCATAACTACAAAATTTCAGCTGATTTCTACATAGTACCGGTTGATTTTGGCAGTCCAGCCCAGACCTTGCACTTGGCTTTGAACTTGGGTTCGAACCAATTTTGGGTGTTGGACAAGAATAACAGCGGAAATGTCACTACAAATGGTCCTACTTTTGATACTAGGTATGTTTTGGCATTTTTTGCATTTTTAAAATTTTATTTTAAAATTTTTCAAAATTTCAAAATTTAAAATTTAAAAAAAAATTTTTTTAATTTAAATTTTTTAAAATTTAAAAAAACTAGGAAATAAAGACAAAATTTTTTAAAAATAACTAAAGAGAATACTGTAAAGTGTCTTTGATTACCCTTATTTCATCTGCAAGCCTACTACAATATCGTTCTCTTCAGTTTATAGCCTGCCACTTTAAACAATGTCTTTTCTTAAGAAAATTGAAACAAAAGGTATCGTTTTCTTTACAAAATTTGATCAAAAGCCAAAGAAAACGGGCATTTGCATATGGTGGAAGAAAGAATAATGTTGGACACATATGCTGTCTTATCGTATCTGCCATCTTGTATTATATTATCATAGAAATCAGTCAGAAATCAAATGTTTTGATCGCTTACAATGAGGATATCTTATATTTTTATCTCTTGAAATACGATATTTTATACGATACTTTAAAAGAATACGGTGGGAAAGGGTAGGGTAAAAAATGATCGGGTAAGATAAGATAATAGAAGCAGGATAGCGTAGCAATAAAGGTAGAATATGGCAAGAGTAGGAGCAGAATACTCTAAAAGTAGGGGTACGGGTAGAATGTGGTAAGGGAAGGGTAAGATATAGCACGGGTAGGGGTCGTGCTAGAGCTAAGGCTAATGCTAAGGCTAAGTGGGCTTAGTAGGCTTAGGATTAGTAGGCTTAGGCTTTATAGGCTTAGGCTGAGTAGGCTTAGGCTGAGTAGGCTTAGGCTGAGTAGGCTTAGGCTGAGTAGGCTTAGCTTAGTAAAATGCTTGGTTTTTAATCCTTACCAGACGTTTTATAATCCCATATGGTTTATGAAGGCTATCTGTAATAAAGGTAATCTTATATTAAGATTACCCAACGATCACTTCAAAAATCCTATAAATCGTTAAACCGATTAGAGGCACACTTGAAAATAGTCTTATAGTAAGATAATACTACGCAAAAGGGCTTCTTACCGTCTGTCAATTACGTAAAGTGTGTTAAAATACCCCTCCGTCCTTGCCTAGCCTTAGACTACTAAGCCTAACCCCACTAAGCCTAATCCAAAGCCGAGGCCTACTAAAGCTAAGCATACTAAGCCTGAACAATCTAAATTTAAGCCTATTAATGCATAATAAAAAAAGCCTAATAAAATTAGTAAACTTATAGAACGTTGTGAACAGTAAAACATCTTTAGCTTCAAATTTTTATAAAACCTTTGATTTGTTTACTTTTTTATGTATGTTATCTGCAAAACCATTCTCTTTTTAGTAATAGCAAAAACAAAAAAAGTCTTCTCTTTTCACTATAAAAAGGTCTTTTTTGAGGAAAAAAGCCTTCGAAATGAAAACGCTTTGTCAAAGGCTCTTTTGCTTTGCTTCGTTAGTAGAATCTTTTTAAAATTATTTTTTTTAGAAAAAGGTGGCTGCGAATATACAGTGGAACTCTTGTATAACGAATCGCTCAAAGATTAAAAATTTTTTAATTTGTTTATTATAAAGGAGTTTTGGTACAAAGGGGGTTTAAATCCACTGTGTAGTGTGGTTTTTATACTGAATTTTCATTGCAAAAGACTTTGTTATACAGAAGTTTGTTGTAGAGGAGTTCTTTATAGAAAAGTTTATTAACCGTGTTTTGCTAAGTCAAGCCAAAGCCTACTGAGCCTCAGCCAAAGCCAACTAAGCCTAAGCCTACTAAGCCTAAACCAACTAAGCCTAAGCCTACTAAGCCTAAACCTACTAAGCCTAAGCCTACTATGCCAAAGCCAACTAAGCCTAAGCCTACTAAGCCTAAGCCTACTAAGCCTAAGCCTAAGCCTACTAAGCCTAAGCCTACTAAGCCTAAGCCTAAGCCTACTAAGCCTAAGCCTACTAAGCCTAAGCCTACTAAGCCTAAGCCTACTAAACCTAAGCCTACTAAGCCTAAGCCTACTAAGCCTAAGCCTACTAAGCCTAAGCCTACTAAGCCTAAGCCTACTAAGCCTAAGCCTACTAAACCTAAGCCTACTAATCCTAAGCCTAGTAATCCCTCCCCCCCCTCCTCCCCTAGGCATGCAGAATGGACCGGGCCTACCATCGAACCGGGCCTGACCCAAATTTAGGTCGAAATTTTGACTGGGTCTGGCCCGTAACTCGTGTCTGCCCCCTCCCCTGTCTCTTACATTCAAAGAAGGCCCTTATAGATCATAGATCTTATAGATCACAAACCTTGCCATAATCTTAAGTTCTATGTTATTAACGAACCTCACTTCTGCTCGCGCTGCCTTTTACCATCCCTTATAGGCCTGGGCGGGGCTTTCCCACTCGTAGCTTATGTAAAAGTGGACCCTATAAAAGAGCGGTCAACTTGGACAGAAAGTCAGTTTTCTTTCTTCCGCTTCATCCAGTCTAGTCGAACGTTTTTTGGTTAGAACAGACTACAGTAGGTTGGGGTAGGGTTTGGGTTGTGAATTGCCATGTTATGTTGGGGTAGGTTTAGGGTTGTGAATTGCTCTGGGAGTTTAATTTGGTTTGTTGGTTTGTTATAAAAGGGAGTTTTGTGTTATACAGGGGGTTCATTGTATCTTAGGCTTTACTTTAGTGTTTTTTTGGTATTTTTGTAAATATTAACATTTTTTTTCATTTTTTAATCATTTTTTAGTTTTTAAATTTCATTTTTAAATCACAATGGGTTTTCTAATTTTTCCTAGGGCACACCGCAAAATTTTGTATTAAAAAATGGAAATAGAAATTTTTCTAAAATGTCGGCTGCAAATGGGATTTTCCATTTTATACGACAAACAAGTGGTCGAATTTATGGTTTAAAATGTACTTTATAGCATACCTAAAGCAAAATAACAATTTTTTTTATATTCTGTATGTTTCTATAATACATGGCTAAACTTGTCAAAACATAATTTTTCAACAAAAATTTTATTTTTTTCGTATACATAAGCCATTTTACACAAATCTTGCAAAAACTTTGAAATGCTTGTGGCGATTTTTATAATTTTTTGCATACATATACATAATTATCTATTACATATTTCTGTGCAATGCCATAATTAGTTCTGCATTGTAGCAATAGTTATGATACATTGAATATTTCAAAGCAGTCATATAAGACACAGATATTTACTAAAACTATTTAGTAGTGTGTAAATGTCATGTAAAACGTATTATAAACAAAAATGAAATTTTATTTTGTTAATTTAAGCACTTTTTTAGTGACTAACAGCTATGCTTTGTAAAAACTTTGAGATTCTTGTAGAGATTCTCCTGATTTTTTCTATAAGCGTGCGTAGTTACCTTGTGCACATTCCTGTGCATTGGCATGTCTCTCTCTGCATTCTGCTTAAAGTTATGTCACTTGGCATGCATCGCCAATATAATTCAATAACCGTGTAACCCCCTATTTTCATATTATTTTAGTTAAACCATTTCGTTTGTGGGTAAAGTGTCTAAATTTGCCAAATTTAAAAAATACAAAATCATGCCATATAAGCTTATTTCAACGGTTTTTACAATAGCATAAAATACAATTTTCGTCAAAATTTACTAAACTTGGGCGCAAGCGAAATTTTCATCTTTCTCTATTTCCAATTTTTTTGCGGTGTGCTAGGGATGATTTGAATAAGGGGGGGGGGAGGGTGTCAAAAAGTTTTAATTTTTTTTCCTTTACATTTTTATTTAATTTTATTTGTTTTTGGAGATATGACGTGGGTCGTTTTGCTATTTTCAATTTTTTAGGTCTCAACAAGTGTGGTATAGTAAATTCTAACATAGTCTGCACCAGTCTGGGACTTTGGCTTTCACCCTTGTCCTAGAGAAAGTCTGTAGCTAATTCCTTTGTGGTCTGTACTCTACTATTACTATGTCCAACATCACCTTACTGTTCTAGTCCCCCCCCTCCCCTCCCAGCGTCACAAAAATTTTTTTAAAAATTTTTTAAAAGCCCACGCCTTGTTAAAATTCAAGAATAAACTTTTTTCTTCTTTTCTCCTGCACCCTCCCATCCCCTCTCCTCCCATCTTTTTCTCCAGGTAATTTCCATAGAGTTCCCTAACATGCCATTGGAGAATTTACAAAAAAGTTTTGTCTTCAATTCATATTGCTTTTTACGCTTAAAAACGACAAGACTTTTTTGATTCTCTAATACATATGAATGGAGTAAATGAACCACACCCCCCCCCAACCTAAAAAAATTGTTTGTGGTGGTCCAACTGCCTGTAGACCACATTTTTTTTAATCATTACCCCCCCCCCACAAAAAATAAATAACGACGCCCCAGGTAGTAAGTAGACACAGTGTTTTGCCCGGACCGGTCCGGAGCGTTGTTCACCGATCCGGTCCGGCGATTTTCAAGTCCAGTCCGGTCCAAATTTCAAATTTTTAGGTCAGTCCAGTCCGGCAAAACACTGGGTAGACATAAGGAACGAGCCGGGCCTGAAAACAAAGGCCCAGCCGTTCCTCATGTCTAGTAGTAAGTCCCATGATCAACAAGCCTTATCCCTACCCTCACCATCGAGCCCACTAAAAAAATGTTGTAGTAACCAAACCTGACCAACAAGCCCATCAAGCCTAATCAGAAGCCTATTAAATTCACTGTCCAAGGCTGAATTTCCTTTTTAGAATCCAAGAATCGTTTACTTTAACCAGCCCACCCAACCAACAACATCAACTAAACATGGTCATCCGACCGTGACGGGATTCGTCTCGGACCTCCATAACAAATTCTACAGTAAATCATCGTGAACTCATATCTACAGTATTTACCGTGGATTCTTCAAAACAAAAAAAATTATCAACCATACGGTAGCAGCACGGTGCGGCACATACGGTAAGAGTGCGGTAGTGGAAATTGATACTGTAAGATGGCTACAGTAACTTATGGTCCTGGAATCTACAGTAAGCCTAATTTTGGTTACGAAAGTCTGCAGTAAGCCTAACTTCGGTTACGAAGGTACAGTAAGCCTAACTTTGGTTATGAAAGTCTACAGTAAGCCAAACTATGGAACGAAAGTCTACAGTCCGCCTGGCTCATGCTACTAAATCTACAGTAAGTCCGACTTTGGTTACGAAAGTCTACAGTACGCCAAACTTATGCGAATGAAGTATACAGTAAGCCTAACCCAGCCAACTAGATTCTACAGTACGCCTAAATTATGGAACGACAGTCTACAGTAAGCCTAAATTATGGTACGAAAATCTACAGTAACCCAACCAAAGCTACAGTAGGCCAAGCTAAGCTACAGTAACCCCACTTTACTGAAGTACAGCTACAGTAACCCATGTTTACTAAAGGCAAAGCTACAGTAATCCAATTTTCCTACTGTGTTTCTACTTTTGGACCGCACCATCTGCTGCTACCGTACACCTCACGGAGGTGACAAAAACTTTCAACAAAACAACTTAAAAATTAAAAAAAAACCCTAAGGCTCGCCTTGGACCAAAAAAAACTTCAGCTACGGCTGAAACGACTTTCTACCGATTTTTCGACTCGAGGGTCGACATGATCAACCAACTTACAGTATGCTACAGTAAGATGAAGAAGTATGAACCTCTACATCTACAGTAAGCCTAAGTCCGTACATCTCGGCTTCAGTACGTGCTATACCGTACAACTCGGCTTAAGTACTTACTATACAGTACTACTCGGCTTAGTCACGTACTATTCTACAACTTCCTACAGTACCTTTTTTGGTGTTTGTATCTTACAACTAGTACTACTGTACACCATGATTCGTCTTGGTACCCCTTACAAATCGCTTGCTGCGGCAGACAAATCAAAACAAACCTAACCTGGTCTCCGGACCGGCACCCAACATAAACTTACGCTAATGTGGTTATAGTGTTTCTGAAAGAGAAGAAGAGGAAGAAAAAAAGAAAGAAAAAGAAGAAAAGAAAGAAGAAAAAGAAGCAAAGAAAGAAGAAAAAGAAGAACAGAAAGAAGAAAAAGAAGAATAGTAAGAAATGGCTCTGAATGACTCACTCGCCTTTACGGCAAACCAAAACAATGAAGAAAAAACCAAAAAAATAACAAAAAATCAACAAAAAAATCGACTGGAAGAGTTAACCTTGGTAGAATAAGTAAGTTTATACCCATATGTGTTAGACTTGGACAGTGAATTTAAAAGGCTTTTGGAGTTGTTGGTCAGGATGGGTACTACACCATTTTTTTAAGTTTGAAAAGGTCTAGGTAATATTTTTTTAGTCTATCTTACATAAATTACCCTGCCCTACCATACCCTGCCTTGCTCTACGTTTGTTTACATTGCCTTTCTTTAACTTGCTTTGCCTTTCCTTGCCTTGCCCTTGCCTTGCCTTGCCTTGCCTTGCCTTGCCTTGCCTTGCCCTTGCCCTTGCCTTGCCTTGCCTTGCCTTGCCTTGCCTTGCCTTGCCTTGCCTTGCCTTGCCTTGCCTTGCCTTGCCTTGCCTTGCCCTGCCTTGCCCTGCCTTGCCCTTGCCTTGCCTTGGTCCTTGCCCTACGGTACTCTACGCTATCCTATCATACTCTATGTTTCTTTACCCTACCATATCATACGATATCATACCCTACCCTACCTTACTCTACCACAACCCACCCTACCCCTTTACCTAACTTTTTCTACATTACCATGCCCTATCATACCCCATCCTATTTTATCTTGCCCTGTTCTTTATTACTCTACTCTACCATACATTACCCTTTCTTTTGTTACAACGCAAAACAGGGTTCATGGTATAAAAAGTCTCTTTCAGCCTGCAGGTCATCGTCTTTTCTCATAATTTGCCAAACATAACCGTACTCTCTTTACCTTTTTTTAATAAAAAACCGCATTTTTTGCTCAAAAAAATTTAAAAATTAAAAAAAAAGTAAGTTTAAAATAACAATTTTTAATCAAAGATTTAAAAAATTTTCCAAAAATCTGTCTAAACCCCACCTCTATCTCCTATAACTCCTATTTTAGCCGCTCAAACTCGCTGAAACTGAACGAATCCGAGCTTTACTTCAACTTCCTTGGCAATGTAAACCTCAACGGCGCCCGAGCTCAAGAAGACATTACCCTAGCCTCAACTACATTCAAAGCCCAGAACGTTGGAGTCGTTCGCAAGGCTACTGGCGAAGGCACGTTGACAGTGTCCGGCGTTCTCGGCGTTGGTCCCACTATTAATGGTACCGATGGAAGTGGAGACTCATGGGAACCTATTGTGCACCAAATCGCAAGAAAACAGTCCAATGGCAAGTTTACTGTGTGGCTGAACAGTAACGAGGACAGCGATGTCAAAGGACAACTGACTTTTGCTGATCACGATGAAGAACATTGCGAGAAAGAGGTGGTACAGGCTGGACCATTGGTCAAAGCTAGAGGACAGTTTAGTCAATGGGCTTTCCCTGTTCAGAGGTAGGGCTTTTTAGATGTATTGGAATTAGGTTTAGGCCCTATACTTTAATCGTCAGCGTTTTTTGCCGTTCTTCAAAAAAAATTTTGTAAAGAAAGTTATTGCGCTTTTTTTCAAAAATTTAAATCAAATTAGCTCTTCTATTACATAAAAATCCATTTTTAATCATTATTTTTCCCATAAAGCACCTTTTAGTCATTAAAACACCTTTCATCGTATAATATGTCCCCCGCAGCTTGCAGACCTCCATTTATCAAAATGCGCAACCGCAATGTTTTCAAAATGAAAAATATGACAACTTAATATACCTTTTACTTTAAAATTCAATTTTCAAGACATTTCATCATCAAAGCCACCTTTCATCATATAACATTTCCCCCGCAGCCTGCCAATCCCTATTTACCAACAAATCATTTCAGATACGGATCAGACAAGTACCGTTACTTCCGTGAAGGCAATGTAGCGATTCAAAACGATGACAAAATCATCAAAATGTCTGGCTACATTCTCGACACCATCGCTCGTATCTACCGTTTGAACAAGGATACCAAGTTGGATGCCTATGTGACCAAATGCGATGAGATTGAAAAGTTCACGCCATTCTTCTTGACCATCAACAAAAAAGACTTTGAATTTCCTGCTAAGATTTTGTTTACACCCGTAAGTTTTATTTTTATCATTATGTCGCATTTTTGAAATTTTTAAACGTTGTGCCAAAAAAGGCGAGTATTCAAAAATTCAAAATTAATTTTTAAATAAATGTTAAAGACCAGCTCGTAACCTCCAGAGACTGTTTTGCACCGTATTTTACTTATTTTTATAAAGTAAGCCAATTTTAAGCCCATGCAACGTTGTGCCAAAAATGGCGGGAAAACCAAAATTCAAATTTATTTTTAAAAAATTGTTAAAAACCCATTCATAGCAACCAAAGACTATTTTCACACCATATTTTACTTATTTTATAATATTTTTAGCAAATTTTAGCCCTTGAAACGTTATGCCAAAAGTGGCGGGAGAACCAATATTCAAATTTAAAATTAAAAAATCATTAAATATTGAATTTCTTAAACTAAAGTACGTTTCTTACATCAAGAATTTTAAAAATAGGCCTATTTTTGCCCCGTAAAACGTTATGCCAAAAATTGCGGGTAAACCAAAATTCAAATTTTTTCACAAAAATGACACTTTTTCGTGATGTAAAACATAAAAACGTATTTAAAAATGCACTTTTAAACCCCAGTATATAATACCCACTAATTAAAGTAATATTTTCAGACCGGAGACAATGGAATGTGCCGATTCATAGCCGAACAAGGACAACAAGGCCCATTGGAAGAGGTCTTCCAACTGACCCAAGACTTTTTGAAACACCTGTGTGTCACCTACGACGTCAACAGCAAGACGGTTGCTTTTGCTAAAGCTATTGCTAAGTAAAGTTACTACCAGCTCTAATTCTGTTACCTACAACAACATCCACTTTGGTGTTGATTAGTTAATTTAATAAATTTTATCATTTCTTTATGATAGACTGACACTTTCTACGCTAGAAGCTTATGCCTGAAATTTTTCTTTCAGTAGTCTTAGGCTTAGTAGCCTTAGACTCAGTAGCCTTAGAATTAGAAAGATTAGGCTTAGAAGCGTAAGCTTAGTAGCATTAGACTTAGTAGGCTTGGGCATAGCAAGCTTAGGCTTAGTAATTATAGACTTAATGGGCTTAGTAAGCTTGCGCTTAGAATGCCTAAGCTTAGTAGACTTAAGCTCAGTAGCTTTAGGCTTAGTAAGCTTACGCTTAGAAGGCTCAAGAAGCTTAGGAGTAGTAAACTTAGGTTTAAATTTCGTAGACATAGGCTTAATAACAGTAGGTTGCGTAAGCTTGAGCATAGCAAGCTTAAGATTCGTAGGCTTAAAGTTAGAAAGCGTAGGCTCAATAAGCTTAGGCATCTCAGTTTTAGGCTTTTTAGCCTCATCCTTAGTAGACTCAGCCTTAGAAATCTTTGGTCAAGTTTCCTATTTTACACGCGCCATTTCAACTCTTAACTGATAATTAAACTAATTAATAACAATAAGATAAGAGATGACAATCTCAAAGACAACAAAAACTAATTTAAAACAATTTCAACAGCACATCTTATCAGTTTTAAAATGCGACTTCAATGTTTGTTTCTGACAATTTTGACAATAGCCTCAGCTGAAGTCTTGAAGCTTCAATTGGGCAAAAACACCGTGCCAAGACCAGTTAGGGAAGCTAGTGGTGGTTATGAAGACAAACCTTATGAGTTGTATGAAAGTAGGTTTTGTAAAATACGTCTATACTATTCATATTATAATAAAAAAATACATATTCAACCTTATTTACAGCGCAGGACTCACTAGAAAAGAACAAAATTTCAAATTTCAAAAATCCCGCCAAAATCGTAAATCGTTGGCATTCTGTTACAATCTAACTTTTTTGTAAAAAACAACTTGTCATGACCTTAAAAGATATTTTTAACCTAAACTTCTAAATTTCAGCTGATTTCTACACAATACCGATTGAGTTTGGCAGTCCAGCCCAGACCTTGCACTTGGCTTTGAACTTGGGTTCGAACCAATTTTGGGTGTTGGATAAGAATAACAGCGGAAATGTCGCTACCAATGGTCCTACTTTTGATACTAGGTATTTTTTATCATCTTTTAACTTTTTTAAAATTTTTAAAAAACCTGTCTAAACTTAACGCTCTCTCTTATAACTAGCATTCTAGCCGCTCGAACTCGCTGAAACTGAACGAATCCGAGCTTTACTTCAACTTCCTCGGCAATGTAAACGTCAACGGTACCCGAGCTCAAGAAGACATTAACCTATCCTCAACCACATTCAAAGCCCAGAACGTTGGTGTCGTTCGCAAAGCTACTGGCGAAGGCACGCTGGCAGTATCCGGCGTTCTCGGCGTTGGTCCCACTATTAATGGTACCGATGAAAGTGGAGACTCATGGGAACCCATTGTACATCAGATCGCGCGAAAACAGTCTAATGGCAAGTTTACTGTGTGGTTGAACAGTAATGAGGACAGTGATGTCAAGGGACAGCTGACCTTTGCCGATCACGATGGAGAACATTGCGAGAAGGAGGTGGTACAAGCTGGAACGTTGAAGGAACATGGTCGATTTAGTCAATGGACTTTTGCTATTTCAAGGTACGAGTTTTTAGGTCTTCCTATTCTTAAACATACTCTCAATAATTTAAGTTAACCCCCCCCCCCCCCCCCACCTCCCAAACTGCGTTAAGTCATTAAAGCACCTTTCATCGTATAACATGTCCCCCTACGCCTGAAAATGTATTTTTCATACTTTCTCTAACAAATAACTTCACTCCTTCTACATACATACCTAGTTACCACAAAAACACTAAACTTCAAAACACCTTTCATCGTATGACATGTCTCCCGCAGCCTGCACAGTCCAATTCATCGCAATGCCTTTTCAGATACGGCGCTGGCAAGTACCACTACTACCGAGAAGGTAATGTAGCAATTCAAAATACTGACAAAATCATAAAATTGACCGAGTACTTGTACCATTCAATGAGTGGCATCTATCGCCTGTCTAACGACCTCAAGTTGAATGCTCTAACTGCCTACTGTAGAGAGGTGGAGCAGTTCGCACCCTTCTCTTTCACCATAAATGGCAAAGATTTCGAATTTCCAGCTCAAATCATGTTTAAACCGGTAAGTCTGGACTATTTTTCAAGGTTTTCATATTTGAAACGTACGCCAAAATGCGCGGGAAAATGAAATTTCAAATTTTCAAAAATTGAAAATTGAATTTTTGATCGCAGAATTATTTTCCAGACAAGTTTAGCCATACTCATATCAAAAATGACTTAATGTGGTCAATTTTGAAGATTTGAAACGTTATGCCAAAATGCGCGCGAAAATGAAAATCCAAATTTTTAACTACTGAAAACTGAATTTTTTAACAAAAAATAATTTTCCTAACAATTTAAACCCACTCACAGCAAAAAGTTGCTCTATTTGGTCAATTTAAAAGACTTGAAACGTTATGCCAATGCGCGGGAAAATAAAAATTCAAATTTTTAGACAAAAAACCTTAAAATTAGTCACAAAAAAACTACAGAGGCATTACAAAAAAACTGAAAACATAATCTTGACTATTTAAAAAACTTAAAACGTTATGCCAAAATGCGCGCAAAACGGAATTTCAAAATTTACTTCAATTTTTAGCTTTTTATACCATCGAATTTGCTATACCAAGTGTCAAAACCATGTTTTTGAAATCTCAAAATGATTTTACACCTCCTTTTTACCACAGTTTATTTTTAGCTAGAACAAAACAAGGATTTATGTCGATTCCTCGGAGAATCCGCTGAGTCTGGCTTTGCAACAGAAGCTTTCCAGCTAACTCAAGACTTTTTCAAATACGTTTGTGTTACCTATGACGTTAAGAACATGACTTTGGCATTCTCCAAGGCTATTGCTAAGTAAAGTACGAGCAGTTGTTTTCTTACGAAAAATTGCTACCTTACTATATATTATATTATACTACTCAATAAAATTTTCATTTTGCTATGTTACACTAGCCTGTCAGCGCTGTACTTCTATGTTAAACTTGGATTTTGAAAAATTTTACACCATCCTACCCTTAAAAAACTCAATTTCTTTAATTGAGTGCCTTACTCTAGCTACAAACACCTATTCTTCTATGTTAACCTAGCCCTTTTTTAGCCCTAACTGATTAAAAATCAGTTCCTGAATGATAAAAAAATCATAATACAAAACTACATTGCAAACAACTTTATAATCACATTTTATCAGTTTTAAAATGCGGCTTCAATTTTTGTTTCTGACAATTGTTACAATAGCCTCAGCTGAAGTCTTGAAGCTTCAATTGGCCAAAACTACCGTGCCAAGACCAGTTAGGAAAGCTAGTGGTGGTTATGATGACAAACCTTTTGAGTTGTATGAAAGTAGGTTTTGTAAAATACGTTCATATAACCTTCCCTTTAAAAAACGTATTCTATTTTAACTTTTATAGCGAAGAACTCATTTAAAAATAAAACAAAAAATTCAAATTTTCAAAATCCCGCCAAAGTTAAAAAACTTTGGCATTGTGTTTCAACCATACATTTTTGCTTTCAAAAGGTTGTCTTAACATACTAAATGACCATTTTTTAATTATTTATGTTTTGCAACGAAAAAAAATAAAAAATTCAAATTTTATGAATCCCGCCAAATTTAATATTAAAAAAAAATTTTGTTGACGAAAGTTATCGAGTCGTATTTTACAAATCATTTATCAAATTCAATTAAAGTTTACTTTATTTTATTACTACAACCCCAAATAGCAAAAAAAAATTGAAATTTAAAAAATCCCGCCAAAATTGCAAATCTTTGGCATTCTGTTACCACCTAACTTTTTTGTAAATAATGAGTTGTAGTAGCCTTTAAAGACATTTTTTTGACCAACAATTTCTAATTTCGACTAATTATTGCTGAATTTCAGCTGATTTCTACACAATACCGATTGAGTTTGGCAGTCCAGCCCAGACCTTGCACTTGGCTTTGAACTTGGGTTCGAACCAATTTTGGGTATTAGACAAGAATAACAGCGGAAATGTCACTACCAATGGTCCTACTTTTGACACTAGGTATTCAAAGCTTATTTAGAAAAAATTCACCCCCCCCTCCTGCCCTCCGCCTCACGCTAACCCGACTCCTAATCCTTCCATTTCAGCCGTTCCAACTCCCTAAAGCTAAACGAATCCAATCACTACTTCAAGTTCTTCAACAACCTAGACCTCAATGGTATCACAGCTCAAGAAGACATTACCCTAGCCGCAAGTACCTTCAAATCCCAGAACGTTGGTGTCGTTCGCAGAGCTACTGGCGAAGGCACATTGGCAATATCCGGCGTTCTCGGCATTGGTCCTACTATTAATGGTACCGACTATGACTCATGGGAACCTATTGTGCATCAGATCGCCAGAAAACAGTCCAATGGCAAGTTTACTGTATGGTTGAACAGTAACGAGGACAGCGATGTCAAGGGACAACTGACTTTCGCTGATCACGATGAGGAACATTGTGATAAGCAGGTAGTACAAGCTGGGCCAGTGACTACAGCTGCAGGGCATTTTACTCAATGGGGCTTTCCTATGACTGGGTAAGGTTATATCGCTTTATACAGCGTTTTACACTTAAAATTACATTTTTCATGCTCTCTTTTAATCAATAGATTTCCTTAAAAACACCTTGAGTCATCAAAACACCTTTCATCGTATAATATGTCCCCCTAAGCTCAAAGATAAATATTGTCTTAACTACTCTCACAACTAACACCACTCTTCCTATATATACCTATTTTACCACAAAAACCACTAGTAATCAAAACATCATTCATCGTATAACATGTCACCCGCAGCCTGCACTACCCACTTTTCCCTTTTTTCCACTAATCTTTTTAGTTACGGCGCAGGAAGCTACCGCTACTACCGAAAAGGCAACGTGGCTATTCAGAATACGGATAAAGTAATCAAACTAGAAGAGTATGTCTACTATACGATTGTTAGTACCTATCGTCTAAAATTCAATGTCACATTAGATGCATACACAATCAATTGCGAAGACTTGGAAGGATATCTACCTTTCTATTTGACCGTTAACAGACATGATTTCCTCTTTCCTGCTCATATTTTGTTTGCACCGGTAAGTATTGGCAATTTTTTCGAAATTGAAAGGTTGAAACGTTATGCCAAAAATCGCGAGAAAATGAAAATTCGAAAATATTTTTAAAAAGTTTTTAAAAAAACCCAGTCCAGCCTTTAAAAAATTTAAAAATCCAAAAAACATAATTTTAGCCGTTTTTAAAACCATGAAACGTTATGCCAAGATACCGGGACAATAAAAATTAAAAAAATTTTTTTAAAATTAAAAAAAATTCAAATCCAGCCCCTAAAAATAAAAAAACATTCCAAACACATAATTTTACTAGATATTAGTCATTTTTGGAACCATGAAACGTTATGCCAAAACCCCAGGAAAAATAAAAATTCAAATTCTTTTGCCATTTTTTAACCTGAAGCTCAACAATTGTAAACCATAGTAACATTCTGAAAAGACTTTTAAAAGTAAATTCTATATTTTTAGCTAGAAGGAAACAACAAAGTATGCCGCTATCTAGCCGAGCCCGCAAACGCTGGAGCATTGACCGAGCTCGTTCAGCTAACTCAAGACTTTTTAAAGTACATTTGTGTAACATATGATGTTAAAACTAAAACCGTGGCTTTCTCAAAAGCTGTTCCAACTTAAAATACGTCCATCTGTATTAACACTATAAATATTTTTCAACAAATTTTAATTATTTTATATTACACTGAAACTTCTGTGCCTACCTTAACATAAACCTTCATATTTGACCTCAAACTAGACCTAATTTTTTAAAATGACGTTCTTTATAAACCAAAAACTTTATGTTTTTCATAGTAAAACATTTATTCAACAACAAACGATATGACAGACAAAAATCAACAATAATGTTCCACAACATCTGTAGGTTTACCTACTACAATATAAAGCTATTTTTAACTGTAGACAATGCGTAGCTTAACAATGACTAACCACAATAACATGCCTAATACTATCCTACGTTAAAAAACAATATAAGCTAATCACAATTAAATGTCAATACAAAATGGCAGAGCAAATATTAGGATAAGTCACACAGACTTGACTACATAAAGTACTAGTTAAATATATGGTCGTAACTTCGGTAGTATCAACTTCTGAAGTAAGAAATCTGGCTCTTTTGAAGCCAAGGCTTCTAGCTCTACTTTGAATCCGGCTTCGATCATCTGTCTTGCCTAGAAATTGAGTTATGTTCAATAGTATATTACACTTGACATCAGATGTCCAGTATTGATAAAAATCTGTCTTTTTCCTGAACTTTGAGCCTAAAAACGAACAAAGCTAATAAAATAACATACCTGTTCATATAACATGTCATCCTTTTTTATCTTTGCAATGTTTTGAATCTTCTGAAGCCGTCGTTTATCGTGAGCAGTGATTCTAAGTTTATGAACATCAGCCAGGTTCATTTGTACAACTTCGTCCATAAACAGTCCTATTAGTAATATTTCAGTAAGTTTACAACCATTCGCTTCAATTTCTGACCTTACCGCACCATATTTGTAGGTACTGTAGATTGATAAGCCTATAAAGGCGTGGAACATTGAAAAAAAAACAAAAAAAAATGGTAAAAACATTAAAACTTCAAAAAAACTAAATTAATATACCCTTTATACAACATGTAAATTTATTCGTATTTTATTACATATTTCCCAATTTTTAAATTTTTACTTAAAAAACTTTTTTTTCAAATTAAAAAAATTTAAAATCTTACCGTAGGGATCACAATCGACCAGACCAAACAAGTAAACCGGATTCTGGTCCATCAGCCATCGTAAAAACGTCCTTGTACAAATATCCGGAAATCCACGGCCCTGAAATTTATAAATTTAACATTAAAATGTACCCTTTACAAGCCTTAAAACTCTATGCCAACTTTGAAAAAGATTAAAGCACGTATTTTACCAAAAACCCTCCAAAAAAATCCATAAAACTTGCGGTAACAAGAAGAACATTAGGTATAACATCAAATATCCCATCGTCAACAAGCCGTTTGAATACTGTATCCTTCTCCACAACCAATATTACATCCGCCATCATATTTACATTGTTAAAATGAGTCAATTCAGATCCAATTGCTACAGGATATGGTTTAAAATTTATTTCGGCACCAGCTTCTGATGTTAATATCAATGATCCTTGCGCAAAACCTCGACTTGTTGACGTCTGTAAATGAAAAACATGAAATCAATGTAAAATATTTTAATTTAGTTTCCGCTAAGAAAAAAAACGTATTTTACCAAAAAACATTTAAAAAACAATGAAAAATCATATATTACCCACCACATTGAAGCAATGTCGAGGTTTGTGATAAAATCGACAGATTTTCGAAATCGCATTATCCAAATACACTTGACTGTCCATATAAACCTTCTTGAACTCGTAATACAGGTCTCTAAAAGCTTCAACAATGAATAAATGGACTTACCGCTTTGAGGCCTTTCGATCTCTGATCAACAATGAGTATACTTGACATAACGCAACAAATTGACGTGTAAATCGACATATTCCTCTGTGGCTTAACACAAAAGATGTTTTAGAACCTTTTACCCGGCTTCTAAAAGTGAATTAAATAATATGCGGTTGGTTTTGACAAGTTATAGTAATGTTATCCATCAAATACCTAACATAATATAAATTGAATTAAATATAAACAAAAAATAAATTAAACTGCTGTAGATACTACTATAAACTTCAGTCAACTTTTCTAAAACATAAAAACTAATGTTTTCCTAATTGGCCCCTTGCTTCAAAAGTTATAACAAAATTACCCAACGGACATCTACTACAACATAAATTGATGCAACTCGTCTAAAGTAAACCACAAAACAGCAAATTAACCTTACAAATCTTTTCATATCTGATATACAATGAGTAAAACCATTTTTCAATAAACTAATGACCATTTTCATAAGCAACATTTCCCAACAGATGCCTACTACAATATAGTTTTATCAAAAAAACCACAGAAAAACGCAAAATTGCTAACAAAAACAAATAGTTTTGCGTTCTTTATAATCTTTTTCAACTTTCAAAACTATTCTCATTCAAATGGACGACCTCCCTCAATAGTTACATCAATGTTACCCACCAAACATCAAGTATAATACCTAAAAAGCAAAAAAAAACCAGAAAACTCACTTTATGACAATATTCCTTACCAAAACACTACTTCTTCTTCTTTTACCTCCTTTTCCAATAGTTCCATCACCCGTAAAGGTGTTCAGCTTCTGCAAGAACATCAGGATCGTGCCCTCTATGTTATGAATGAGTTCGCGTCGTATCTTCGGTGAATCTGCTGATGTAACCGGCTCAAATACAAAGAAATCATCCGTATGATCTCTCTTTGACATTAACAAACCAATAAGTTGTTCATTTATGTCATATTAGAGAGATTTTTGGCCGAAATGCGGCCAAAAATCGGCAAAATTATGATTTGGTGTCAAGTGTTTCAGTAAGTGTAAATTGTGAGTCAAGTTGTTCTCTTGGCAAGTTTATGTTGTTTATAAGGTGAATTTGAGGTTATAAATGGTTTTTAATGGTCAAAATACATTCTAGAAGTCTCGTTGATCTCTACCAATCTTTTTTATAGTGTTTTCTTCTCATTAATTCAAGTTTAAATCAATTTGTCTATGTTATGATAGGGGAAACTGTTCCGTTAACCGTTCCTTTTCTCAGAATCTTACAATTTTTTGTGACAAAAAGATCATCTATACTGTGTGAAGTCTAAAAATACACAATTTGCCTACAAATCCAGCTCAAACCTTTTTTATGATCAAATTTATATTATCCATGACCGTCAGCCATAAACGGGCGTATTTTACAAAATTTTAAATTTTTGAACTCCAAAACTGACTTCCAATACTGATTCTTCCTTCCTGTCTAGTTCAATTTGCCGAAAATCATAAAAACGTTTTTACAAAGCGAAGTGATGGATCGTATGTTGAGAGGGGTCGGGCGGGGTAATATTGTTGTTTGCTTTTTGATTCACTTCGAATTACCTTTGAATTATTATGAATTGGATTGAGTGTTGAGTCAGTTTGAACATGGCATTTGTATTTATTGTTTATTTTGTATCGTATTTTATATTTTTCTATTTTTTCGGTAAATTGTGGCTTAAAATTTGGGGTAGACAAGGTTTAACGGGCGAAAACTAGCTGGATTTTTAAAAATTTTAAAATATTTCCTACCTAATTATTAGGCTTATATTATTGTATTAATATCCAAAATTTGGTCCAAATTAAATGAGGTACTCAAAAGTTATGACAATTTGTTTGGCCAAGTACTATATAATCAAGCCCTTTTGTTTAAAAATTTTTTAAAATTTTAAAAGTTTAAATTGAATTTTTGAAAAAAAGGTTCCACTATGTTATACTGTATACTATGAGATATGACTACGCCAAATTTAGCCCAAGTTGATCAAGGTATCAATGCGATACATTGATTTTTATCTTTGTTATCATTAAAACATAAAGCCCTTTACAACGCCTCCCATAGCTTTTTTGATCTTCAGTATAATATTCTGATGGCTTTTCTAGCCTCAATCTAACTTTTCGAATGTTACCTTTTCAATATAAATGTTTCTACATCACCATTGTTGTTATATATGAAAGTATTTTTGAAAAACGTCAAAATGAAATCAATTCAAGCCGAAAAACTCGGTCATTTTCGAGCGTTTTTTCGATAAAACTTTGAGTAAAAGCTACTTTTTATGTTGTTATTATTGTTTCCGATCACTTTTTTGATTCATTGTAATGTAAAAGTCATTTTGACAAAATTATTTATGTTTATACTTGTTGTAATGTCTCTTTATGTTTGGTAGCTTCATGGATAATATACATAGAAGGGCAGGGTAGGGTGTGCAAAACAGTAAGGGTAGGGATAGGGTAGGTGTAGATAAGGGTGAGAAACGAACCGGGTATAAACGTTGGGCCGGGGGTCTCAAAAGTGGGCCCGGCTGGTTTCTCATCTCTAAGGGTAGGGGTACGGGCAAATGTAGAGGTGGAGGTAGAGGTAGGAGTAAGGGTAGGGGTAAGGGTAGGGTTAGGGGTAGGGGTAGGGGTAGGGGTAGGGGTAGGGGTAGGGGTAGGGGTAAAGGTAGGGGTAGGGGTAGGAGTAGGGGTAGGGGTATTGGTTAGGGCAGGGGTAGGGGTATTGGTAAGGGCAGGGGTAGAGAAATCCTTCTATGACCTTATTGTACCATCCTCCAGCGGTACTAAAATGATAGTTCAGTACCATTTGTGATCGTTTACAGTACCATTTTTGCCTTCTTTTCAGCCAGATTTTTTCAATTTTAAAATAATTTTAAAAATTCTTCAGTAACATGATCAAACAACCCCTCCTCCTCCTACTCTTCTTGTGTTCCCCTCTAGCCTACGCCAAATACAAGGACTACAGCGACCCGCTAGCCCGACGACTACTAGTCCTAGCCTCCTCAGCCTACTCCCCCACTCCACACGATTGTCTTGGCAATCGATTCGAGAACGCCGAGCTGATAGAACGTTTCGAAATTCACTGTGATTTGAGTGAGAACAACACTTGCTCTGGCTATATTGCACTACTACATCAGGATAGAGTCATCGCCGTGGTATTTCGTGGTACCACCTCGAAAGACCAGCTTGGATTGGAGGGTGTGTCGGGTTTCTTCGAGAGGGGGTATTTCCAGGAAATGGGCAGGGTAAATCGGTATTTCCAGGACGCTTTTGAGAAGATTTGGGATGGAGGTATGGGGAAGAGATTTGATGAAATCTCACAAAATTACCCGGATTACGATTTGTGGGTAAGTTTCATTTGAGGTGGGGGTAAGAGTAGTGGTAAAAATAAGGGTGTGGGTAGAATTAGCTGGCCAAAAGGTGCGTAGAAAAAAAACCATGGACAAGTCGAACGTTTCTTCAATGATTTTTCAATTTTCTACAAACTTCTTGACCGCTTTTCAAAAAATTTTTATAGCCCTATATTTGACATACCCTACGGCATTATCATGCCAAATTTGGTCTCATTTGAAACGCTAATTATAAAGTTATGACACTTAAATCATTTCTTAACTTTCTACGAACTTTTTGACCGGCCTTCCAAAAATTTTAATGGCTAGATATTTTCCATGCCCTACACCTTCCCCTCACCAAATTTTGAATTTTTTCAAGGCCTGTATTAAAAGTTATGACATTTCAAAGTTTTAAAACTTCAACAATAACATCTTTATAAGCCTAGCTAGCTAACCCTCAAAAATTTAGGTAACCGGCCACTCACTAGGTGGTGCTTTAGCCTCTTTAGCATCAGCCCACATTGTATCTTCTAAACCCAAGTATACGGATCAAAATTCGGCCCATTACAGCTTTGGCCAGCCTCGAGTTGGCGACGAACAGTTCTCTTCAAGTCACTCGAAATTGGTAGGTTTTTTTTAAATTTATGACAGAATTTTTAATTGCAAATTGTGTAAAAAATAACTGATAAGCTATGATTTAAAAAATCTCTAAGCCAAAATGTCAAAAAATAGTTTTTATGCCAAAAAAACATCATCAAGGTATATTATCCATGATGATCAAAGTTCAAAAGCTTATATCTTTTTGAAATCTAAACCAATTACGATGATTTTGATCTTAAAATGTACCTAAAATACTGTTTTTCAATTGAAAAACATCGATTTTACCATATGAGATTGATAAGTATTTTTTACGGCCCAAAAACGGCATTAAGGTATATTATCCATGATGGTTAATGTTCGGGAGCTCATATCTTTGTCCAATCTCAATCAATTCATACCGTTTTTTTTACCGTTTTTTTAAATTTAAACTTTTCAAACATCTTTTTTCATTTAAAAAAATTTAAATTTAGCAAAATAGATTAAAATTATTTTGTACAGCCATAAAAACGGCATCAAGATATATTAACCATGATGGTTAATGTTCAAGAACTCATCTGTTTGTCCAACCGCAACCAATTCATGCCATTTTTAATTTAAACCACTCAAGCAACCTTCGTGTTCATTTTAAAAAAATTAAATTTATTAAAAAAGTTAAAAATTATGTTTTACGACCAAAAAAAACACCATCCAAGATTATTTGATGGTTAATGTTGAAAAATCTATATCTTTGCTCAACAAAAACCAAATTTAATATTTTCAAACGTAAAATATACCCAAAAACATCACTTTTTATCCCACAATCTTCCAGATTCCCTGGTACTACCGAGTGACTCACGCACACGATATTGTAGTAGGTCTCTTCCCCGCCTACTTGGGTTATCAGCACCACGTCAATGAGGTGTGGTATAACAATGCCATGTTGCCTGGGGATTCATATAAGATCTGTCGTAAGCCTTGGGATTGGAAATGTATCAAAGTTCCGATACCTCTTCCCAATATGATCGACCACCGGCATTACTTCAATGTCAAGATCACTACTTATGGGAAAACCGGGTGTTTGAAGGAGATTCATGCCTAATTTGATGTAATTTCTGATTTAAAATATTAAGATTAGTCTTGCGGGGCTATTTGATATCTAATTATGTAGTTATTGTTGTACTTTTATTGCTTTTAAGGGCCTTGAAGCGACCATGGTTTATATTGTTATAGTTCTTATATATTTAGTTATACCGGCCAAAATGTGTCAAATACAATCTCATATTGTTCTCCAATACCACTTTTACCTTGCCTACTAAAAACTTTTGTCTAACCCGAATTTTCACGGTCATACCGATCAAAATTTATATTATCCATGAGATCAAATGGCCACAATTGTTCCAAACCTTAACTTTTCCCCGCGTTTTTGTAAAATAATTGTAGATATTAGCTAAAAATGACAGTTATGCCCAAAAAAATGAATCTCTATTTATTTACAGCTTTTTTGAATAAATTATTGAAGATTTGACCGGTTACCATCAAGTGTAATATATTGAAAAAAAGACATTGAAAAATAAAATTTTTGGTAAAACAGTGACTAAAACATGAAAAGACCTTTTAATGCTATTTATAAATTTTTTTTGAAAAAAAAATATTTTTTAAAAAATTTGCACCGTGCAAAACACCCTAAACTAACAAGGAAGGTGCCCGACCCCCCTATTGAACAAATCTATAGTAAGTAAGCCTTTTCTAAAGTAAATTAGCCTTTTGTACCAAAAGATCAACAGCAGACGTAAAGTTTTCGACCGAAACAGCTCTTTCTTTTGGCAACTCATCCAAATCGGTCGGTTTAAACTTTCCAGTTTTCACCAAAATCCCATTGAAACCCACATCGACTGCTCCAATAATGTCATCACGTACATCATCACCGATCATATAGATGTTCTCAGGCTTGAATTTGATGTTGTTTTCGGATTCAGTGAGTTGTAAGGCTGATTGGTAGAAGGACTTTGAGGGTTTTCCAACGATGTGAGCCTAAAAGACATAAGATTTTAGTTGTTCAAATAAGTCAGTGCCCCTTCTCAAATCAAAGACCATTTCAAACAACTTTTTGAAAAAAAAATTTAAGGGTAGATCACCCTCCCTCTTAAACAAAAAAAAATATTTTTACCCCCTCCCCCCCCCAAAAAAACCCTCTTTCCATGTACACCCAAAGCAAAAAAAATTTTTTTTAACTCCCCCCCCCCCCCAAAAAATAACCACGCCGGCCTTTCTTCATAATATAGCTATTATATTAAGTTGAACCAAAAAATACCAAAAAAATTTACATTGTAAATCATGGCCTAATTTGAAAAAAATGTTTTGGCAGCTAAATAAATTAACATTTTAATTTTTTTTTATTAACCTTTTGGTTAAAAAGTTAATTTCTTATTGACAATTATTTAGTTAATATATTCAAACACTAAACGAATGTACTTTTTAACGTAAATTTTGATCCCTTTAATTTATTTTATTAACCTTTTTTTGCTTAATTTTAATTTTTTTATTGACGATTATTTAAATTTCAGAGTAGTATAGAACGATATATATTCAAGCACAGCTAAATGAACACACAATTTAATGTGAATTCCAATTTTTCCCTTTATATTTCGCTGTAATTTAATTTTTATGAAATTAAGAGTTATAGGTTATTTGTCAACAAAGTTTTCTTTTGTAAAGTCTTGTTTATGACGTTTTAACTTTTTTAAAAATATGTTTTTAGCTAACAGTTACCTGCATGTTTATATTTGTTTAAATTAAATGTGGTCGCATTTCTTCATTTTTGCCTGAATTTAAAAAAAACTGTCACCACCCCCACAAGAAACCCTTCAAGGCGCTGCCAGTGATATTTCTCATTTTTTCGGAAAACCAACCAACTTCAAATATTCCCAATACACCTATTCCCACCCCAAATCTACCCTCGTCCTGGTACATTTCCTCCCGTCCCCAATTGCCCTGATAACATGACTATCCCCCACACCGGCTCTGACAATACGACTAATCACTATTCTTTCAGAATGACCCCCCTCCACCACCTACTTCTCCTCACCCTCCTCCCAATAATAGTCCATGCCAACTACAAACGGTACAATCACACCCTGGCTCGTAAGCTCATCTTCCTCGCCACATCCGCCTACTCACCCACGCCCAACGCGTGCCTACAGAAAAAGTTCGATGAGGGCGAGCTAGTTCAGTATTATGACATTCCTTGTGATATCTCCGTGAATAATACCTGTTCTGGCTACATTGCTCTACTACACAATGAGAAGGCTATTGCCGTGGTGTTTCGAGGTACCACAACTGATGACCAGATGGTGAAAGAGGGCTTTGCCGCCTTTGCGGATAAACTACAGTTCCTGGAGATGGGCAGGGTTAACAGTTACTTTTTTGAAGCTTTTGAAAAGCTTTGGAAAGGCCAGATGGGCACAAAGTTTGAAGAAGTTATCAAGGCACACTCTGATTATGATTTGTGGGTATGTTTTGCTTACTTATTGGTCGAAGATTGTAGCGAAAAAATCAACCAAAATAAAAAAATCCTAAATCTTCAAAGATTTTTAAATTTTCTACAAACTTATTGACCGCTTTCTAAAAATTTTTGATAGCCCTATATTTGGCATACCCTCTAGCATTACAACGCCAAATTTTGTAAGATTTCAATACCTGTATCAAAAGTTATGGCACGTCGAAGATATTTCAATTTTCTGCAAACTATTCGACCAATTTTCAAAATTTTCAAATACCCATATATTTTCCATGCCCCACAGATTCACCATGCCAAATTTTATAGCTTTTACAGTCTTACTCCAAAAATTATGACACCTCAAAGTTTAAAAAATTTGTCGACCATAACACCTTCATAAGCCTAGCTAGCTAAACTTCAAAATTATAGGTAACCGGTCACTCACTAGGTGGTGCTTTAGCTAATTTAGCATCAGCATATATTGTTTCGACTATACCCAAATATACCGTGGAAAATTCGGCCCATATCAACTTTGGCCAGCCTACAGTTGGAGACAAGGAATACGTCGAAAGCTTCAAGAAATTGGTAACTACTCATATCTTTCCTCAATATCAACAAAATCTAATCACCCCTCGCTTTATATAAGCCTAAAACTCACCATTTTACATGACAAAAATTTAGATTCCTTGGTACTACCGAGTCACTCACACACAAGATGTTATCATAGATATATACCCAAAATCCTTAGGTTTTGAGCATCACGGCTCTGAAGTATGGTACAATAACACTATGGTACCTGGCTCATCATATCAAATTTGTGAACTCGAATGTGTGAAAAACAATACTCATGAAAACATGGAGGATCATCGGCACTATTTCGATATTAATGTTGTTAAATATGGTAGAACTGTATGTGTGGCCTAATGTTTTTATTAATCATTCTCAATCTGGTACTTAAAGTTAAAATAAACAATTTTTATACGGAATAAACCCTGCTTTAACTATTACTTTATCACTTTTTCTTATTTTTTACCAAACAATCAATTTTTCTGACCTAGAACGTTAATTATGCCTAGATTAATATGAAGAAAACTTTATTTTAAAGCCTTTGAAACCCTCAGTTATTACATTTTCAAGCCCAAACAATACCTCCGCATCGTATTAAACACCATCTTTAACCGGTTTTATCCCTAAATATACAAAAAAACACAAAAACATCCATAACTTACCGTCTTTCCGCTCGAAAACTCCAGAGCCTCGATAAATCCTCCAGGACCCATAGCCAATCCATCCTCCCTTCGATAATACTTCCCTTTGTGAATGGCAACAAGTTGAGAATCGTCTTTCAACAACAATTTGAAGGCCCTGTTCATGTCAGCAAAGTTGAACATCTCTGGCGCCAAACCAACAACAACCGAGTTCATGTTTCCATTTACAACAACATCAAAATCTTCCAAAGCTCTTTCATCAACCATAAGCAAAGGTTTTAGGTTATTTTGGTTTATGTAAGTGTTGGCTGCTGTTAAAGATGTAAAGAAACGGTGTTTTTCAATGTTTTCAAAGCCACATCGAGATAAGCGTGAGATCAAAGAGGCGGTGGATTCCTGAAGACGTTTTTGGTAATTTACAAGATGTGAAGATATAAAATGTAGTATAATAAACCTTTTAAAATCTTCTAGCTATCATTTAAAATTAACTTCATTTAGATTAAGGTCAAAAAATTAAATAAAAACATCAAAAGTGATATTATCAATCACTTTCTAAAGCCTGTGTTGATTCTCTTCAAAATTACTGGACCTCAAAAAAATATTAATGTCAATACTCTTAAAACTAACTTAAAGTAGTCTTTTCTCCACACTTTAAGCCCAATTTAAAATCAATCGACCGCAAAACAGCTTTACAGCGACCAAACCTATATTATCCATGACCTCTACCTCCCTCTTTTCACAAAATTCATCCAAACTTCAACAAATACCTAAAAACCAAAACTAAAAAGAAACTTTCTTACCTTCGTAGTATTGGTGACAAACTTGTACACAATGTTCGGATGTTCATGAAGAGTTTTCAAAGCTGCTACAGCGTTTGAAGTTGGAGTATCCTCAATATGGAGTGTTCCGCTAAGATCGACAAAAACACAGAGTTTTTCAGCCATTGTCTTAAACTCTGTCTTTAGGATGTTATAAAGAACGAGCAACATTCATTTTGGCAAAATTTCCAAAAATTATTTTCGATTTTTCGAGGACGAAATGTCAGAAATTGATTTTGGTGGCGAAGTGTCTCAAAATGTATTGGTTTAACGTTTATTTGGGTGTTTAGGTATGTTTTCAATGAAAATAAAGTCCTTTAATGTAATATAAACCTTATTAAACTAAATACATGTTCCAGTTAAAAAAACCTTTCAAGTTTCAACTCAAAACATTAACTTTATGTTCACGTATACTATAATTTTAAATTTCCGCCAATTCAAATAATAAAAATCAAATTTATTCACGGTTCAACAACAACTTGTCGTAAGCTAAAAACAGAGTAAGACCGTTGTAATCGACCAGTGAACATGACGCCTCGTTTCACGTCGGGCGGTGCCACAACTGATGTAGGTATAGCCATTGCTGATGAGACCTTTTGTCGGACCAAATAGTTCATTTTCGCTTGTTCCAGCTCTTCCTTGTTCAAGCCACCTTCAGTATAGACTGTGTCAAACCAACATGGAAAGAAGTAGTCACGTAGAATGTAAAGGTTGAAGGCTAGCCATGACAATAGGCAGGTAACGCCGAAGATGTAGTACAATTGTGTACGATAGTCTTGTAAGATGTAGAAGAGAATTTTGAAAGAGTTTTGAAAAGTGAAGTTGTGCTAAATCTAAAATACGGTTTTTATTTGATAAATTGTTATTTCAAAGCAATAAAACTCAAAATTAACCGAAAAAGATGCCCTGCAACTTGCGAATGACAAGTTATACGACTAATAAGGTTCTCCTGTTGATTCTGTTTTTAAAGAAAGTTCTTGTCATTTTTTGTTTTGTAAAGAAAGTTCTTGCCATTTTTAGGTTTGTAAAGAAAGTTATTGCCACTTCTTAGTTTGTAAAGAAAGTTTTCGCCATTTCTTAGTTTGTAAAGAAGCTCTTGCTATTTTTTGACTTGTTGAATCTGTCTAGCTCTCTTTGGCTAATATTTTTATTCCATGCCTGACAAAAACACCCCTTATATACTATCTACCCTGCCTTATAAAATGCGTTTGCGTGTCATGCCTTAAAAAGCACCCCTTACCCAAAAAACCTTTCTTTTCTACCCTACTCTAAAAAATCGCAAATCCCACCCTACCCTAGCCTCTAACCTATCCCCTACAACTAGACATGAGAAACGAGCCGGGCCGGCCAGGGCCTGCCATCGGTCAGGGCCGGCCCTGAGCAAAATTTCGGTGGCGCCGGCCTGAAAATTGGGCCCAGCTCGTTTCTCATGCCAAAATAATTATATCCTAATGTTGAAACTTACAGTAATACAGTCAACCTATTCCCTACCCCTCCTCCTTACTTTTCTCAGTAACCAAAAAAAAAGCCTCTCCTAACGATTAAACCTACAGTAATACCCCCACCCATCTCCACTCCGTTTTAAAAACCAAAAAATTGGGAAAACTTAAGGATTAGAATAAATAAAAGGTTGTAACACTAGACACTAGGGGATGTAAACACAAAAGTGACATCTCAAAACAAGAAGTTCAAAAAGCGACGGAACCCGGTTTCCGACGAAAAAAAAAGATTTGGCCAAAGTCGGAGGACAAAGGCCGAGGCCAAATAATCAAATGAAATTGTATCAAAACACGGTATACTGTCATGTCTGATGGAATTGCAAAGACAGGATGAAAAAGTGAACATATGAAATTTTGCAAAAAGTTTTTACCATTTGTTGTTTTGGAAAGAAAGTTCTTGCCATTTCTCGTTCTGTAAAGAAAGTTCTTGTCATTTTTGGTTTGTAAAGAACGTTCTTGCCATTTTTTGTTTCTTAAAGAAATTTCTTGTCATATCTTTTACCAAAACTGTGCTTTTTTGACTTTGCAGCCTGCGGGTGACAAATTATACAAAGGGTATATCTACATGTCATTTTCAGTTTTGTAAACAAAGTTCTTGCCATTAACCCAACAATAACAACACCATTTTTTGTGTCCTGCAGCCTGCGGGTGACAAGTTATACGAAAATCCTACTTTTTGCTTTGTAAAGAAAGTTCTTGCCATTTCTGGATTTGTAAAAAACGTTCTTGCCATTTTTTGTTATGTAAAGAAAGTTCTTGCCATTTTTTGTTATGTAAAGAAAGTTCTTGCCATTTTTTGTTATGTAAAGAAAGTTCTTTCTAGTTTTTGTTTTGCAAAGAAAGTTCTTGCCATTTTTTCCAAACAAAAATTAATTTTCAAACAACCCAAAACTCAAAAAATTTTTAGTCTAGTCCACCCAAATAAAGTTAGACCACTCCACTAAAATAAATATATTCCAGTCCACCCGAATAAATTCAGTCCAGTCCACTCAAACAACTTTAGTCCAGTCCACCCAAAGAAATTTAGTCCAGTCCGATCAACATGAATTTAGTCCAGTTCAAATAAATAAAGTTTAGTCCAGTCCACTCAAATAAACATAGTTCAGTCTAACAAAAAAACACAAAAAAAATCCCAGACCACGCCATTTTATAACAAGAGACAATAAAAACCCATAAATTAGTGGAGATACGACAATAACAAATCAACTTAACAAAGCGTCAACGGTGGTTTTGTTCGGATTTCAAAAATCGTGTTGTTTTTGAACAATAATTCGAGTGGTAATTAGAGCAAAATAATTGGTTTTACAACTGCTTCACTTGTCATGTATAACAAGACCGTACTATATTTGAAGGGGTTTTAGTACAAGTGCTCAATTAGTTTGGTCTGTAAAGAAAGTTCTTGTCATTTTTTGTTTTGTAAAGAAAGTTCTTGCCATTGTTTGTTTTCTAAAGAAAGTGCTTGCCATTTTTTGTTCTGTAAAGAAAGTTCTTGCCATTTGTTGTTTTGTAAAGAAAATTTTTGCCATTTTATGTTTTGTAAAGAAAGTTCTTGCCATTTTTGTTTTGTAAAGAAAGTGCTTGCCATTTTTTGTTCTGTAAAGAAAGTTCTTGCCATTTTTAGTTGTTATCTGTCAAAACAGCGCTTTTTGCATTCTGCAGCCTGCGTGTGATAAGTTATACGATGAATATCATAATGGTGGCGTTTTTGAGTTGTAAAGAAAGTTTTTGCCAACAATCCCAAAATAACATATTTTTGTATTCCGCAGCCTGCAGGTGACAAGTTATACGACAAACGCCATTTTTCAAAATTGTAAAGAAAGTTCTCGCCATTTTTGATTTTGTAATGAAAGTTATTGCTATTTTGTGTTTTGTAAAGAAAGTTCTTGCCATTTTTTGTTTTGTAAAAAAAGTTCTTAAAATTTTTGCACTGTAAAGAAAGTTATTGCAATTTTCTGTTTTGTAAAGATGGTTCTTGCCATTTCGAGACCATATCATATTTAGAATGCCATATCATTTCAAGCCAATGCGTTTATAAAACTTTTCGGAATATAAACAAACCTCATAGTCATAGTTTCGTTCTACTCTGTTTTGTTATTGCGACAAACAAAAAATTTATTTTTTAATAAACAATTTCACCATATCATACCTAGTTTTACGTTTTTACAGTTATATCTTATACTAATTTAGTATGTTAAACACTAATATTCGTATTTTACATTACCCTACTTTTTTGATATTTTCATTTTTATTGTCCAAAGGAAGTGGTGATTCATTTATTTGGCAAAAAAGTCGATCATTGACCGATCCAAACCGTTATTTTGAAGGTGTATTACCTTGTGAAGATGATAACATTATCATCGAAACTGATGATAATCCAGCTATTTTGTACTTGAATGATGACTTGAAGGTAATTCTTCACCATCACTTATCTTTCTATATTCTACCCTACCCCCACCTACCCTACCGTACCCCACCCTAACCTTAGCATACCCTGCTCTGCCTTGCCCTACTCCAACATACTCCCTAAACTAACCTTACCCCACCTTAACACATGCTAGCCAAAATCAAAAAATTTGTTTAAGGTCAGCTCAATCTACTTCCAACCAAACGGCATACTGTATTTCGGCTCTTCAGCCATAATTGGCGACCAAAAAGGTGATTGGCAATGTAAAAAGAACTACGCAGTAGAAGATGCAGTAATCAAAGACGACGAAGCGCCATCATTTTTTGACTACCGTTCTTGGCATCAAATGGATTTGCTTGGCCGAAGGATAAAGCATCCAAAACTGCATGCTCTTATGGTTCCTAGCTCTGATGTACGTATTTTATATTTTTTTTTGTAAATTTCGTGTTTCTGCTTAGAAATGTTTTGTAAAACGCCATTTTTAACTTTAAAAATTTTTCATTAACCTTATTTTTTTATTTATACGGTTAACAAATACCATAAGCCTTATTTAAGCCATTGTAACAGAATGCCAAGCGGTCTATTGGCGACTATTTGTTTTCGTTGTGGGACCCAACTTTATATTAGATGTTATGGCAAAACCAAGTAAATGCTTCAATATTACTGTAATTTTATGACTTTTAGGACATTGCAATACTACAAACCACAAAACCATCAAAAATTACCATTGGCAATCAAGTCCAATTGGGGAGGTTGATCTTTAACCATAAGGTAGGTTTATATTTTTTGATTTTTATTGTTTTATTATTATTTTTTAATACTTTCTTGTACGGTTACGTATGACATACCATTGAAAAGCTTGTTGTGAGATCTAGCCGTTTGAAATTTTCAAAAAATTTATTTAAAACAACATATTGTACAAAATAATCATCATTATATATAAGTGATCACATGGGTTAAAGGAAAGATCGGTTGAGTATCAAATTTTTTAGTTTGAGGGACCTTAAAATGAGCCAAAATTGGAGTTAAAATTCATATATATATAGAATTTACCAAAAATTGGGGTGAAACCGGAAAATTATGACATACATAATATTAAGGTAATGTACAATACCCGTATTCAAATTTTTTGTACAAATCAGACCCGTACATGTGTGTTAAAGACTTGTAATTGTTGTGAAAAGCAAAAAAAAAATGCTAATTAACAATAAAAAATTTGGTCTAAAAATAAGGCGAAGAATCAACAGGGCGGACCAAGCTCGCAAATAAGACCCAATTCTATGAACTTTTTGACCAATGACAAAAGAGGTTGTAATGGTGTAATTGTGACATATGGGCTTTTGTAAGACGGTAAAAAGCATTTTCACTGTAGTAACAAAGATTTTACTGTAGTAAAAATAAATTGACTACAGTAAAATGGCTTTACTGCCGTCGACCGGGGTTACACTGGCTTACAGTCGAAAATTTGTGGTGGATATTGTTCGGTTGAACGGCATTATTACTAGCACCCAACATGGACAACTTCATTTCACGTATAAACATGGCAATGAATGAGTTCCATGTTTCCATTACTAGGCTTCGCTCCTGTAATTTTTAAGGTTTTTATTGATTTTGTTCTTTTTATTGTCGTTTATTGTCTTTATTAGTTAAAATTTATAATTTTGAGGCTTAGTAGGCTTAAGCTTATTAAACTTAGGCTTAGTTGGCTTAGGCTTGCTAGCCTTAAGCTTTGTAGATTTAGGATCTGTAGGCGTAAGCATAGTAGGCATAAGCTTAGCTAAGTTTTGGCTTATTAAGCTTAAGCTTAGTAGGCTTAGCAAGCTTAGACTTGGTAGACCTACACCTAGTCGCCTTAGGCTGTAGGCTCAAGCATACTATGCCTGTAAAAACTGACCGCTCGCAGTAAAATAGAGCCAAACCCCAGCACTCGCAGTCATTTGTTGGGTCGTTTTACATCGAGACAAATGTTATATAAAACCATAATATTACATAAGAAAACGTTGCGTAACGCCATTTCTTGCAATTTCTCTTAGGCTATCTAATTGTATAAAACCATAAAATTGTGTCATTTCGCGCATATTTTTATCTTTTTATATTACTCTTTATTCCTTTTTTGTCTTCAGTGCTATCTTATTTGTGACTGCACAGTGCAACCTTTTAGTTGACTGCACGGTGCAACCTTATTTATGACTGCACGGTGCAACCTTTGATTTGACTGCACGGTGCAACCTTATTAATCACTGCACAGTGCATAATTCCTAAGCGCGGTTGCCTGACATTTTTAAATCATATCTTTTCCAAAAAACGTGACATCATTATAAAACGTGGCGTGCATTTACAACTTCTATGCTCTATCATCCTATCAATTCGATTTTTTATTTATTTTTGTGAATTTTCAAAAAATGTGCTTTACTCCACTGTAGGGCATAAAAATATGTTTTAGTCAAGCTCAATGCCATTTTCAATTCACACAAATTATAAAGATGAAAAAAGTGTCTTCTAAAAGCCATTCCATTCCAGACCATGCTTTTTCATTTTCTTACTGTATTTTCATTTTTTCTTACTATTAGGTTACTGTATTCTTACTGTAAAACCTTAAGTTTAATGCCATTTTTAATCCACTGAAATTTTAAAAATGTGAAAAAATGTCTTCTAAATGCCATTCCAGACCATATTCTTCCTTTTTCATACTGTATTCCCACTTTTTTTTACTATAAAATTACCCTCACTTACATGTTCGTTACTGTAGTTGCACTCCTCCAGCGCTTTGATGATACTCGTTTTGAAGTCTCGCCACGCCGTCGGTGGTATTAAAATGCCCTTTTCATAGTGTAAATCGCCCAACTTTCGTATGCTTTGTGCCACATCTGCTTCACTCTTTCCCTTTCGCATATCCGATATTGTAGTATCCAAGAAGGTGGTGATTTGCTCGGAAATCTTGTTGAATTGTCGATTCATCAGGATTTCGACCGGTTTCTCGCCTCTCTCTTCGTCCGTCATTGGGCATGAGTAATGGTGCACTTTCGGCTCCATTGGTACCGCCGAATGGGACTTTTTCATTTTCTTGGTACTACTGGAGGATTTGGTGGATGAGGGGGAGGATGGTCTAAAAATAGAGAGAATATCAAAAATTTAAGTTTGTAAAGAAAGTTCTTGCCATTTTTTGTTTTGTAAAGAAATTTCTTGCCATTTTTCGATTTGTAAAGGAAGTTCTTGCCATTTTTGGGTTGCAAATCAAATTCGTTTTATTTTAATGTTTGTAAGGAAAGTTATCGCCATTTTTCAAAATAAAAATTTAGGTCCCACCACGAAAATCATGCATGTCAATAAATCTTTGGCATTCTGTTTCAACCACTTAAAAAATTCTATTTTTCCTAATTTGACTGCAATTCAATGATTTTCCTCCATCTTTTATAAATTTTTCTACCCCCCCCACTTTACCAAAAAATAAAAACTTTTTACCTCGCCCAAATTTTTTTTTCAAAAATCAATTTTCAGAGCTTTCTGACATTTCCTCAACATTTTTTATTCAAAAATAATTTAACCCTCCTTACCGTCTAGAATCCGACCGTTTATATCGTTCCGCATCCAGCATGAAGCCCACCGTACCACTGTCATTCGAAGTCGATGGTAGATCATTAAGTGAGTCCGAGAGGTTGTGAAACACTTCAGAATCGTCTTGTTTCATGATTGGTACCACGATTTGTACCGGTTTGGGGGAGTGTCTATACTTGTCATCGATCAGTTCGTTCACTGTAGCTGATATTGAGATGCTTTCGGGGTGGAGCTTCCCTAGTGGGTCCCATTCGATCGAGGGTGTGGAGATCATTCTGGCCGACGAGGTGAGACGTATCACACGTTTATTGCGGTTACATTGGACTGGGGTGCCGGTTTGGGAAGATTTGCATATTTGACGGAACATTGAGAACACTGGTGGATTGTTGGTTAGCATCGCATATAGCACTCGTTGGCCGACTTGATCTTGAGTGTGTGAGACTAGTTGACGCCAGGATTTGTGTAGAAGATTCATACGGTCTGAGGAGGCAAACCAGTTGCTAAAAATTGAGGTGTGGTTATATTATAGTAGGCAGTTATCAGGTTTTCATTGGTTTTTAGACTTTGTAAAGAAAGTTCTTGCAATTTTTGTTTTGTAAAGAAAGTTTTTGCCATTTTTCGTAATGTAAAGAAAGTTCTTGCCGTTTCCTAAAAAGCATCCCTCCTAAACTTTGGTCCCATCACGAAAACAATTGAACGCCAATATAGTCTTTGGCATTCTGTTTTAACCCCCAAAAACCCATTTTCAACCAAAATAAGACTATTTTAGTTCAAAACCAGATCAAACTAGCTTTTTAAAGCAACTTTTAGTAACCTACCCTTCTCCACATATTAACTTTTCTCGCTTCAACGTGTTCCTCTGCACGATCTTCTCCTGAAGCCATTTCGAGCACCAAAAAATGATGAAGCAATTGGTGGAGCTGTTGAGTAGGATCATAATATTCGACAGATCAACCAGATATACAAATACTCTTATATTCGTGCCGAATCCGAACAGCAGCTCCCAGATATCGAGCTGAAATGACAGGTTATTACCAGCTTATACCTACTACAATATAAAGCCTTATAACTTTAAAACTGCGATTCCACACAATCGGAATTTTACAGAATAATTAGAATATACTATAGGCTAGCTACAAAAATCAAAAGCTCTAACTTACCATGAATGATAGACTTCGAAAGGCCAAAAACTTGACCACCAACATGATTGATATCATGGTTAACATTGTTGCTCTGAAAACGGACAAATTATACTCAAATGGCTTTCATGTCTTAACTTAAATCGACCCTCTATATCTTTTACATATAACAAAACCAAAAATTTTACAAAATCTCAAAAAACCTTTGCTTAGCGATATTATCCATGACATTAACCTACTTTGATGAATACCGGTCGATTAAAGAGTCGCTCATTTGAAACAGACTTCGGCGGGTTTTTGTCGAGCCTCGTAATAGCATTACTGTTCTTACAGTAAGCAGTAAAATACAAATATTGGGTCCACATGTTGTGATTAGCATCCTGAACACCACCTTGTACCATAGTGTATATACCGGACTTAGGCGCATCCCAGAGATTTTTAACTAAAAAAATGGGGTGATATAAGTGTCAAATTTGATACAGTAGTTTATTGTGGATCTGTAGAAAAATTTTTGTTTTGAAAAATTAAGTTACAGTAGATAAAATGGTTTAAAAATGAAGTTACGGTACGTTTCTAGGTCAAAGATAGCCCTGAATTACCTTTTTTTAACAAAATTTTAGCCACGATAAGTCCATTAGTTTATAATTTTAGGGGTCAAAATAGAAAGACTAATATATTCTCTATCAACAAATCAATTCTTACCACATAAACCAGTCGTTTAGTTAACGTTCTGTAGCATGTTATCGTGGTAACCTCAAAGAAAGCTGGAATGTTGACAAAAATGGCCAGAAAACTTAACGCCAACGGCATTGCCAACTGTTTTCTGTACATTGAACAAAAGAAAAAAGACGAGGATTTCCGTCGATCACCTCGAAACGAGTTTATCAATGCTCTGTGATGCCTAAAATCAACAAAGATTTTAAAAACTTTAATTTACAACCAAAAAAGTTAGCAAAATCGAAAAATTTTGATGGCTAATACAATATGAAACCTAAAAACCATTAAAAAGCCAATTTTTAAAAACAAAAAACATTGTTATAGCAAGAAAAAATATTAAGCTTTAATATAAAAAGGCATTCACAGTAAAATATTTTCTTTCCGTTACATACGAACATGTTTTAGCCATACGAACATAAACAATAGGATAAATAACACATTACCGTCACACAGCAAAGCGGAAAATGGCTGAAACTTTGTAAAATCTGAATTTCAAATTAGTTATAGGTAAGATAGGCCAAGTTATAACAAAAATACAGGGAATAACAGGTACAATAGCGAGATATAACAATATATTGTAGTTGAGGTCAGCTGATGTCTAGTGTAAGGTAATTTTGGGGCTTGAAAAATTTTTTAAACCAAACGCTGTCAAAAGCTAGGAAAAGTCTTATTTAACATAGCTTTAATTAATAAATTGTAGAAAGTCCAAGGAAACATCAATTTATATTATTCATGACCATCTAACCTCATGGTTAACATAATTTTACTCTTTTGGTATCGATTAACCCATAAAACATAAGAAAACCTATTTTATAATAAACTCAATACATTTTTCCAAATTTTAAAAACAAAAATTTCCGTTAAAACATCCGTCATCATTAAGAAAACATAACTTATATTATCCATGACCACTTGATTAGATGGTAACATAATTTTAATATAATTGAAAACCAGTTTTCTCAAGGTCTTTTTTTACAACACTCTCTATATAGTGTTGTAGCATTAAAACGTAAAATTTTCTTTTAAAACGTTCGTCTTCAATAAGAAAACACCAATTATATTAACCATGGCAAACAAGTATCATGAATAACATAAATTTAGTATTTTCTACAATTCTATAAAAAAAGCACAGCAAATCGTATTTTACAAAAATCTCTATACAATTCTACAATTTTTAAATATAAATATGAAACGCTCGCCTTCAATTAAAAAACATCAATTATATTAACCACGGCCATCAGATATCATGAATAACATAATTTCCCCATATCTCCTCAAGCTCAACCCAAAACCAGTAAAGCAAAAAAAACACTGCAAGAATAGGTAAAAGGCAAGATAGTCAAAAAAGCATTAAGCACAAACTGGACATGTAAAGCGAGGAATGGAGGGGTTTCAACCATTGTCCGCCTACCGTAGCGACGATCGTATTGGTGCATACTCTTTGAGTTCAGCCGATGTTATGTGTAGTAGCCATCGTGTCGTCCTGAATGGGTCACGTGTGGCCATGTATCGTTGAACGGTTATCGCTACGACGCACCATATCTGAAAAATAGAGGTTTATATTGTTGTAGGTATAGGTTGGTGGCATGGATAATATAAATTAGTGAAGAAAAAGTATATTTTGATAAAAATTATAAAATACGATTGAAAAATGGGTTTTCTACCTTTTTTTCGACTTTGAAATTGATAAAAACGAGAAATAATAAAAGAAAAAATAAATAAAACGAAATGTCACAGACGATTGTGACACTTCGTTTATTTATTGACTAAAGCCCTTTTTTGACTGAAGTAGCCATTTTTGATACAAACATAACAATCCTAATGTAAAATACGGAGCACACTCCCCTTTTCTGTTATAAAACATCAAATTTAGTTCTGACATTTTGTCCATCTATTGATTAACGCTTTTTCTCTCTCAGAACAGCCATTTTTAACCTTCCTCTTGATAAAATAATCCTTATCCATGATAAACCAACACTTACCGAAGCAGTATTAGCCACCTGTGAGCATCCATGCATATAAGGCGTGAATATGTTAACAAAACTAAGATATTCAGCATGTACCAAATTCTTAAAACCGTAGTAAAAGAAGGCGAACCATAGTAAAATCGAATCCCATATGGCTAGAGTAACAATCGAAAATGCCAATGTAACTCCTCGGTTCGAATTCTTATCAAAATTTGACAGTTTCACTGAGCGCACCGAATAAAAGTTACCGACTGTACCAACTGCTACACATATTGAGGTGAGAAACCCGTTCACAAATTGACTGAATATTCTGAAAATAACTCGAGTTAGCGACCACCGTATTTTACATAAAAATTTATATTAGTTAAATCATTTTGAGAATTTTTTTATTAATTTTTGTCATATTTTTAAATAATCTGCACAGTGCAATGATTAAAATTTTAAAAGTGGACAGTGCAAAAAGTCCGAGAACTTTTGAAGAAATTTTATTAAAATATAGTTTTATATCTCAACTTTTATAAACTTTTCAAATTTCAAGAATATTCAGAAAAATTTAAAGAATATATGATTTTTTTAAATTTTAATGACTGCACCGTGCAAGCCCCTAAAATTAAAAAATCATTTTGATCAACCAAAATCAAAAATTTTAAAAAATTAAAAAAACATTATAGTCAAATGAGCAATACTTTAATTTTTCAAAATTTCAAAAATTTCGGTCCAGTATACAAAAAGATATGACATTTTTAGTTTCTGATGCCTGCACCGTGCAATACCTAAAATAGAACAACCCTGTTTAATACGCCCTAACTCAAAATTTTTTAAAATCAAAAGCGCACTATACTGAGAATAAGCGGTCATATCATTTTCCAAAATTTCAAAAATTTTCATCTAGTGTGCGAAAAGAAATGGCACTTTAAAGTTGAACCCTCTGCACCGTGCAAAACTTACGCATAGCCTATAGACACCGGCGGAGGTTGTTGTGGGCACTCGGGATAAGTAATATTGTTAAGTGTAATGGACATTTGAAAAATCTGAAATATTTTTTTTTAATTTTAAATAAACTTTCAAAAAATTCAAAAAAAAATTTTTTAAATTTCAAAAAAGTTTTTAAAAATGCCAGAAGTAAAATTTTTAGGCAAAAAAAAAGGAAAAAAGCAAGTTTTCTCTACAGCGCCAATTATGAAAAACAAATTACTGTTTACATTGGTAGAGGTAAGGGGAGGGGGATGACAGCGGGACAAGGGGGGGGGGAGAGCAATAGCCGGATTATAAAGCATTTCCTTTTGTTGTTCTTTTAAAGACATTTCAAAGAAATAAAAAACAATTGGCAATTTTTGACGTAAAAGTAAATTATTGCACGATTTGCCCCAATTGTCTGTGTAATATGGCTTACAATGCGAATAACTTGTAATTTTACATTGTTTTTGCAAAAATTCTGGTTTTGTATAGAAAGTTCTTGTCATTTTGTGTTTTGTAAAAAAAGTTCTTGCTATTTTTTGTTCTGTAAAGAAAATTCTTGCCAATTTTTGTTTTGTAAAGAAAGTTCTTGCTATTTTTTGTTCTGTAAAGAAAATTCTTGCCAATTTTTGTTTTGTAAAGAAAGTTCTTGCTATTTTTTGAAGTGTAAAGAAAGTTCTTGCCATTTTTTGTTTTGTAAAGAAAATTATTGCCATTTTATGTTTTGTAAAGAAAGTTCTTGCCATTTTTTGTTTTGTAAAGAAAATTATTGCCATTTTATGTTTTGTAAAGAAAGTTCTTGCCATTTTTTAGTTTGTAAAAAATGTTTTTGCGTTTGGAGCTCTGGAAAGAAAGTTTCTGCTTTTGACTGTCTTTTAAAGAAAGTTTACGTCATTTCAATTGAAAAGAAAAAACTTTTTTGAGTTCTGCAGCCTGCGGATGACAAGTTATACGAAGAACACATTTTTTGCAATTTTTTGTTTTGTAAAGAAAGTTCTTGAAATTTTGGATTTGTAAAGAAAGTTCTTGAAATTTTGGATTTGTAAAGTAAGTTCTTGCAATTTTTGATTTGTAAACAAAGTTCTTGCCGTTGAACTTACATTAACAATTCAAGAACGAACTCTTGAATAACAACAAGAAGCGAGGTTTCACTCCAATTGACTGAACATTGAAGCCAATAAATAACTGAAAGGAACACAGTATAATACTAAATATAGCGTCATTGTTATCATAGTAATGGTAATTGGGAAACGAGCGTCAGGTTTAGATGGGAAATGATAAAAATGGTTGCAAAAGGGGCTGGAAAGAAAGTTCTTGTTATTTTTTGTTTTGTAAAGAAAGTTCTTGCAATTTTTTGTTTTGTAAAGAAAGTTCTTGCCATTTTGTGATTTGTAAAAAAAGTTCTTGCCATTTTTTGATTTGTAAAGAAAGTTCTTGCCATTTTTTAGTTTGGAAGAAAAGTTCTTTCCATTTTTTGATTTGTAAAGAAAGTTCTTGCCATTTTTTGTGTTGTAAACAAAATTTTTGCAATAAAGTTCAAAATCCCATCCCCCCCCCCTTTCCAAACCTAAAATCAGCCCTAAAAACCTTATTAAAACGCCTGAAATAAGCATTTTGAACCAGTGAAAGTAATGTAAAACGTCGTTGTAAAGTACACAGTAAATGACGATTCGGTGTAATTGGAACACGCACATAACATTTTCATGTGAATTGTCATACATTTTGGTTTGTGACATTACTGTAAACCCTGAGGTCATTAAATTGAAATTTTAAAACTAATTTTTAAAAAAAATTTGGAAAAAAATTATTTGATTTACACCTCCCTACCCATCCGTACTCTAATTTACCCCACCCTATCCATTCCTTTTTGAATTAAACCCACTCAACCAACCCTCCCCCTAATTTACCCTGCTCAATAATAATTTACCCTACTAAGCCTGAAATAAAAATGGTGAATCTTACCAATCGTATTTTACAACAAAACCCGAACTCTTCGTCTTGGCGCCATTTTTAGGCCAAATTGAGAAAAGATGCCCTCCGGGCACGTAATCAAATCTCGGTTTAAGAGTAATTTTTTGCAAATTTTTCGAAAAATTTCGAAGCATTCGGCGTGAAGGAGAAAAACCTCGAGTCTGATTAGGTTATGAAATGTTTCAATTTTGTTTGAAACAACTTCTTACTGATAGCAGATTAAAAAAAAACGTGAGCAATCGTATTTTACAAATTTTATTAAATTTACCTTGCACAATTTAATTTTTTTTAAAATTTTTTAAAATTTACGTCGCCCAAAATTTTTTTTTTAATTTACCGCGCCAACGGAAATTTTCTTTTAATGTACACCGCTTTTTTTTATCAGAATTACCTCTCACAACCATTTGTCACCAAATTTACTCCACCCAACATCATTTACTTAATTTTACCCTGCCCAGCTTATTTTTTTCCTAATTTACCCTATCCAACGAAACCTTGGCTTAATTTACTCGCCCAACCAAATATTTCCCTGATTTGCCCCGCCCAAACTAATCTACTCCACCGAACCCGTTCACACCCTAATTTACCGTACCCAACTCATTTTTTTTATAATCTGCCCCACCCAACCCATTGTTGCACCAATTTACCCCGCCCTACCTATTCTTATCCTAATTTACACCACCCAAACCATTTTTTAAAATTTAACCCACCTGGCCCATTCTTACTCTAATTTACCCCGCCCATAATTTTTTTTTCAAATTTACCCCACCCAACCTAATTTTGCATGTTATTTGCCATTCCCAAAAAATTCATTCCTTATTTTACCCCACCCATACTATAGTTTTCGAATTTGCGACGCCTAAAACTTTTTTTCTAAACTTACCCCGCCCAACCCATTCATACACTAGTTTACCCCACCCATACCAAAATTTTCAAATTTGCTATGCTTAAACTTTTTTCTGAACTTACCCCGCCCAACCCATTCAAACCCTAGTTTACCCTAGTAAAGTAACTCTACCCAACCAACTCATGCTCTAATTTACCCCACCCACCCCTATGATTCGATTGCTCTTTAACTCTTTAACAAGCCCCTAACACGTGGTCGCGAATTACCCTCGGCCTGAGGTCTTAAAATCGACGAAATTAGAAGCGAAAAGGTTTCAAAACTCGGCCGAAGAAAGAACAAACGTGGCCACAACGAAAAACGCTCAACAGCGATCCCCCCAGGGCATTGTGGGAAAACATTCAACGGTTTCGAAGGTAAGATTCTGCTCTGGTTTTTCTTTGGCAAAAAAAAATTTTTTTTGTATAGGGGATGAAAAAAAGGCGGCGGGGTGTTTTTTATGGCAAAAACTTTCTTTACAAAACAAAAAATAGCAAGAACTTTCTTTACAAAACTAAAAAATTGCAAGAACTTTGTTTACAGAACAAAAAATTGCAAAAACTTTCTTTACAAAGCATCAAATGGCAAGAACTGCAAGAACTTCCTTTACATGTTAAAAAATGGCATAAACTTTCTTTTTTGGAAAATAAACGGCAAAAAATGGCAAGAACTTTCTTTACAAATCAAAAAATCGCAAGAACTTTCTTTACGAAGTCAAAAATTGAAAAAACTTTCTTTACAAAACAAAAAATGACAAAATCTTTTTTTACAACCCATAAAAACCGACCAGAAGATTTCTAAAATAGTTTGAAACAATTTTTTTCATTGCAAAAAACACTGTAGTAAATTTGTCAAAAGTAAAAAACATGCCCTTGAGGAAGGCAAACAAGAAGCGTGATGAAAAAAGTTTTGACCGGAAATTAAATAACTTCAGACTGCCGCAAATGCAAATTTTTGTTGCATAAAATCAAGTCAAGGGTTTTTTCCTAACATGGCTCTGAATCCGGCTACAAACAGGGGTTTAAAACTTTAAAGTTGTAATTTGAAAGACAGTAATTCAAGCGTCTTTAGAGTTTGGCAGGCTGTTAGACCTAAAAGGTGGTCCAACCAGGCTAAAACTGGAGTTTGGTATACGGGAGTTCGTAATAGAAGAGTTCGTTATAGGCGTGTTTGTTATACAAGAGTTTGCTATAGAGGAGTTCGTTTACACAACCTTAATATACATGAAGTCTGCTGTAACACATTGCCATTCCCTCTAAAACAAGACAGTCCAAATACGTTAAATACGCCCTAAAAAAGTTTTAAAACCAAATAAAAGTGCATGTAGACCATTAAAACCGGAACGAACCCCTAACTAAAAGGAATACCCAAGAATATGCTCTAAAACAAGATTAAGACTGTAATTGAACCTCCCCTCACTGTTATTTAATTTACCAGAGCAGTATATTGGTTTAACAAACATATACAAACAAAGTAGGGTTATGTTTGACTAGGGTATCAGTGATTAGTACTATAACTTTAGGTAGATACCAATAATTAGTACTTTTGATAAGTACTAACGATCAGAACAGCTATGACACCAAAGGCTAGGTGGAAGCGAATCAATCGTTTACTTAAAGTCAAAAGTTACAAAGCTTATACTTAACAAAAAGTACTCTAAAATACATCATACTATAACAAAAACTACACGATATATACCTAAACTTATATACAAGGTATACGACAACCCAAGTTTAAAACAGTAGAGCTTCGAACCTGGCACCGAAGTTGAAACCTCAAAAACGGTGAGAAAAAGTTGTTGTCTTCGGCAAAAGATTTATAATATACACGGAGTATGTCGATTCTAAGAACTTGTGGGTGGTGTTGGATTCTCAGGAGAACAATTAAACTATTTCGAGACTGAACTCAAAGTAACAATGCAACATCAACACATTTAGGCACGTTAATGGTGTGTACTGTTTATTTGAAGTAGCATGCTATCCTACCTTACTTTACCCTACCCTGCTTTATCCTGCACTGCTTTACTCTGCCCTATCCTACTTTACTTAACATCTTGAATAATGCTGTAGCACCATTTTAGGTGTTTAGTTGGCAAACCGTATTTTACAAAAAAAAATAATGTTAGCAGTCCAAATCCAGGTTTTGAAAAATATGGCCAATTTTATTCTGGCCTGTTTTCTAAAAAGCGTCAATAATGATGATTAATTCCAA